TCTTACGTACACTATGTGGCCAAATCAGCCACACTTTCGATCATGAGTATACGCAGAGATTTTGAGAGATAAACCTGATACTTATAGTGTGCAAGTGAGAGAGTGTGTATATGTATGTACATATTATAATACTGGAGAGAGGGGGTGGGTGTGTCAGACTCGGGTGTGGTCTCGGGCGGTGTTCAGGGAGTGGTTCCTGTACATCCCAGAATGGCTCAGGTGCTGTAGTTATAGACCACATACATTGATTGGTGGGGTGTGGTCTGTGTGTACTGGTACAATGTTATGTACCTCTGAGAATTTCTGGACTCTTCCATGGAAACTGGTTGGAACCGACTGAACTGATGGCTTCATCTGTCTGCAATATGATTGAGTCACAAAAACCTTCTCTCAACACAGACGTTCCAATTTTGGCTACTATCCCTTGCTATAAGCTACGAGGAACCTATATAGTGTGACAGCATGATAGTACTGTATCGTCTTTGCCTACATTTTCTTATTGTCTTAGACAACACTTCTTGCTTTGCTTACCCATAAGCATTTGAGGTGGTGACATACATTGGATGCTGGGGTCTAGTCATGTCTTCCAGTGTACCTAGACCACCAGTGGTTGATGGCAGTAGCGGTGAGGAATCGGCTCACGGTTGGAGGACTTACCTGGAGATGTGATCATGGCAGGGGCTGTCTCGACTAGTGATTTGTGGGGGGTAAAGACAGGGTTTCCCTCGTTTGGGACTCTGTCTTCTTCTTCTTCTTCTGGGGCTGAATTCTGCTAGGGAGAACATTATATAGCTACTTCAGTACGTACTAGATACATTCGGATAAATACTGTATACACCTCGTTTTGTAGCGACATCACCGCCGCTCGGAAAGAGACGAGGAGAAAGTGTTTATCAGCTGCTCTGTTGCTTGGATACGTGGTGCTCGTGAATTAGAGTGACCTTCGTACCCACGTGTGGGATCAGCCTTACAGAGCAGCTGTAGCTGTGTGTAATCGAGATGGGGATCCTGGGAGTTCAGGTGGTGGGGGGTGGGGATGGTCGGGGGGGGGGTTTTTTTTTTTGTTGTTTTTTTTGTTGTTTTTTTTTTGTTGTTTTTTTTTTTTTTTTTTTTTTTTGTTTTTTTTTGTTTTGTGTGTTTTTTTTTTTTTGTTGTTTTTTGGGGGGGGGGGGGTGGGGGGGGGGGGGGGTGGGTGGGGGGGTGGGAGGGGTGGGGGGGGTGTGGGGCGGGGGGGGGGGGGGGGGGTGGGGGGGGGGGGGTGGGGTGGGGGGTGGGGGAGGGGGGGGGGGGGGGGGTGGTGGGGGGGGGGGGGGGGGGGGCGTGTGCGTGGTGGGGTGTCGGTGGTGCGTGTGGTGTGTGGCGCGCGCGCGCGGGCGTGTGAGCGGGTTGTGGTGTGTGCGCGTGTGAGGGGTGCGCGCGGGGAGTGCGCGGCGTGCTGCGATGGCGTGAGGGGCGCGAGTGAGCGCTGTGTGTGCGTGCGTTGTGTGCTGTGTGGGGCGTGTTGCGTGCGAGCTGGGCGGGGGAGGGGGGGGGGGGTGGGGGGGGGTGGGGGGGGGGGGGGGGGGGGGGTGGGGGGTGGGGGGGGGGGGGGGGGGGGTGTGGTGGGGTGGGGGGGGTGGGGGGGGGGGGGGGGGGGGGGGGGGGGTGGGGGGGGGGTTGGGGGGGGGGTGGGGGGGGGGGGGGGGGTGGGGGGATGGTGGGGGGGGGGGAGGGGGGGGGGGGGGGGGTGGGGGTGGGGGGGGGGGGGGGGGGGGGGTGGTGGGGTGGGGGGTGGTGGGGGGTGGGGGGGGGTGGGGGGGGGGGAGGGGGGGGGGGGGGGTGGGGGGTGGGGTGGGGGTGGGGGGGGGGGGGGGGGTGGGGGGGGGGGGGGGGGGGGGGGGGGGGGGGGGGGGGTGGGGGGGGGGGGTGGGGGGGGGTGGGGGGGGGGTGGGGGGGGGGGGGGGGGGGTGGGGGTGGGGGGGGGGGGGGGGGGGGGGGGGGGGGGGGTTTTTTTTTTTTTTTTTTTTTTTAGTCGCCAGCTTCCTCCACAAGCTCTCTCCCTACTACTCGTTCGGACGATGGCTGGCCGTCTCCGACATGCGTCGCTACGTACCGCCGCGGGACTCGCAGCTCCAGGCTCACGCGTGCGGGCCAGGTCGAGGCGGCGGCGGCAAGAAGAAGCTCGGGAACGGTCGCTGCGAGGACAACAAGCCTCTGGACCCGACCCTAACCATCCCCAAGTCCTCCACGATAGAGCTGACCAGTACACCCATCATACCGGGTGACCTCCAATACATTCACTACTACCAAGAGTTTCGCTGGCTCATGGACGTTGCGGTAGCCGCACTCGCTGTCTACGTGTGCACGTGTGCCTATTACTCCATACGAGTGGTTGCAGTCGTAACGGAATACAACCTAAGTGTGATTTGGCTGGAATTTCTGCTACTATTTGCCCTCTCTCTCCTCTTCTCCCTCACCAGTGTCTATTTCAGCGACCAACTTTCTCGCGAACGCTCCCTGATCATCGTATTCACGACCCTCTACTTCGTGTGTTGTCCCTCGGAATACTCCTGGTGGACGAAGACATCCTCTATTTCAGACTGAGAGAGAGTCACACCAACATCACCAGCTGCGTGGGGAAACTTCTTCGACCGTACATTTCAGACATTGACAACTTTACTCTGCTCCCCGTATGGGCCTTCAAGATGGTGCTGGCAGTTGTTGCTAGTCTTCTGAGCGCAATGCTCGTATTCCCGAGTTTCAGGTACTCTGAACTGCAGTTCAACGTGACGACGCTCACTCGGAGTGTGGTTACGAGGGCCGCGGTGCGTCTCTGCTACCTCATGCCGGTCTTCTGCCTCGGCCTGTGGATCAAACCGTTTGCAAAAGACCTCTTCTCGGAGCTGGACGTGGTGACCATTCTCGGGAGAGAAATGTACCACGAAACTCTCCGTCATTGGAGCGTACTGTTCTACTGTGGACTGCGGACGGGGCTTTTCAAACTTCACCTCCAGAACTATCTGGAGCTGGCGGCTCTCAGAGTCGAAGACCTGAGGAGAGAGCCGGGGAGAATCACAATTCTCCAACTCCGCAAGAAGGTCTCCACCATCTTTTCTTTCTACGGAGGAGTGGGCGTCCAGTACATGGCACCGGTTCTCGTCATTCTCTGTCTCTCGGTACTCATGCATGTGTCGTCGCCGTACCAACGGGGGAGTTTAACCCCTGAGCAGCTGGAGGTGGACCCCGGAACCAACGTGTTTCAGTCTTCGGGGTTTGGAGTGGCCATGTTCCACGGCTGTCTCTCGTTCCTGTGCTGGTGGGCGTGTTTCACTGTCTTTGTGGCCTCTGGTTTTGGCTCTGCACTCCGGTCTTACTTGTGAATCACGACGTATCATCAGTCCAGCTAGCGTGTACATTTTTCTGTTGTCAGGTGGCATCCTTACATTAATACAAAAAACCCTCAAATAATAATGGAAACAGACTGTGAATAACCAGAGAAGGCTAGGCACTTGTTTGTTGTGCCTACCACAAACATGACATGCATGTGCAATATACCATCGTAGAAGCTGCCAACACAATTTGAAATAAACAAACATCAAGTGAGTCTATAGGTTCTCTGGACTCTCTCTCTTATGAGGACACCTCTCACCAACTTCTTCCATCTCTCCAATACCCTAGCCTCTCTCTTCTGCATCAATCACAAAATTATTTGCTAGCTATATACACATTATCTCACACCAACCTTCATTTCTTTCTCGATCATCATCTGCTCCTCTTGTCTCCATGCCTCCATCAACATCTCCTCACTCTCCTCTGCCACCACTATACCATCAATCCTGGGTGTATTACAGTTGTAGGGATTCAGAAGTAGAAGTTTATATTATAAACGGCGAAGATTTTGACATAGAAGCAGAAGAATTTTTAACCTTTTTGCAAATTTGCCTTCTTTTTAGTTGCAGAATATCGATGCTGATATAATTATATTAGCACTATTCAAGAGCATTGTCTTACACAGGGCAGCAGTGTCCACTGTGGAAGTCCCAGCCAATCATTGCAGGGACATAGCTGACTTCCAGTTTACGAGCCACCTTCTGAATCCCTGCTACTGTTAATACACAAACACACACACATGGGGAAGTAATAGAGTTAGCCACACGCTGCTTTAGTAGCCACTTTACTTCTGATGTGGCGGGCTCCTGCAGGTAGCATTGACGGTTGAAACAGCTCCACGTTTCCATACTCGTTCCGAGGTACAACTCCCTATGAGATACACACATTAACGACCGCTATTTCCCCGCCTTTCTATGGTCGCACAGTACTACAGTAGGATATCTGTAGTGCTCCAAATTTGTGGTAAGTTTCAAATTTTCAGGCACGGTTTTTTGTTTTTAACAGTGACAACACATTCTCCCCATCCTTTCCAACCAACTGTCTCTACCACACGAGTTATTCCAGTGACTGGTACTTTAGTATGTGTGGTGTGTGTAGGTCTTACATCCACCACAGGAGGAGGGACATAGACTTCGGTCTGCCAGAGACCAAACACCTCCACTGTACTGGCGTCCCTCTCCAGTAATGACATACCCTGCAATGGCACATACAGATGGCAGAAAATAACCATGTCACTTCATAAGGGCTAAATTTTACTAACGATGGCAATAGCTAGGGCTCAGTGAAAGGATGCAGTAACAGTTTCAAGATTTAGCTCTTATTATGCTGCCACATTTCCTTCAATAGCTAGGAGAGAAGTGAGTAGAGAGAATAAGTCCACTACTTTTTCTAAGCCCAGGGACCACATTCAGAATTGACCCAACGGACATCCTGAACTTAAGTGACAAGCCTATGGCTACATACACGTACCTTCTTGGGTCTTGCCTTCACCACCTTGTATGGTTCCTCATCTCTCTGAACAAAGTAAGAACCACAGCTTCAGTAGCTATACACAATGCACAGAGCAGTCTTCACACCTTCACAACTCTGCCTTCCTTCAGCCAGGTTTCCCTGGTATGGAGCTGATGGTGGTGAGAGAGGTGGTGAACTAATACACACACAGTTCTATTGGTGTGGAGTTTGTGTACAGAGAGGAATGTAGACTACTCACAGTGAATACACAGTCTCTGGATAAGACTGGTTCTCCTCTGCAGTAGCCCAGTATCTTACTGTCAACTGGATAGATGGCTGAAACAGAGTATATCACACAATACTTTTCTATGGGCGGCACCCCTGAAGTTGCAAAGCACTAATGTGTGGTACACTGACTAAAAACACATTTTGCAGCTTTCCAACACAGCTTTGTATTAAAGTTACCTTCAAATTTGAGGAGGTGTCTTCTGAGAACATACAATGGGTGAGACTTGTAGTCATTGATGGAGGTGGGCAGAGGGTGAGAGTAAAGAATATCTAGAAGACAAGAGGAAAGTTGTTAGCTGATAAATAGTTTTCTCGGTGATTTTTACAAGATAGAATACAGCTATAATAGTTGATATGAAAGCATGCACATTGAGCCAAGTGAGGGTATCTACATCACAATACATTATCACATCATGAACACAGTAACAATTCACTCACTCAAGATGTCTTCCTCTCTCTCTCCCTCTCCTCGCGGCCGGGGGAGAACGGGAGGAGGGTGTCGGCCCACCAGGAATCCCTCAACCGCAGTCTCCTGGTGGCTGTACACCACTCGGACGCATAGCGACCTGTCACATCTGTCACACACGCCTCTCCACCCTCTCCTGATGTAACAGCAGACCATGATAGAGACACAACAGTGTTAAAATAAAATAAGTTTCTCTTAAATTCACACAGAAGACAGTTTGGTGCAATAAAGTGTGTGATAAGAGGTGACAGGGAAAGTTGTCAAAATAAGGCCACTGTTTCTCTTAATTGACATTTTGGCGCAAGAAGGTGTGTGATAAGAGGCGAAAAGGAGAGTTGTTGCGACTCACTGCTCTCAAAGGCAAGGACGTAGCTGAGTTTGTGTGGGCAGTGTTTCTCGCATATCTTGGGCTGGTCCACTGAGGAAGAGGGAATGTGGAGACACACATACCTCCTCTGATCCTCCGCATACGCCTCCGCCCAGCTACAAGTCTCATCTGAACAGAATTATTATAAAGAGTGGAACTTTTGTATAGAGGACATGCTGGGACCATTCATACAGAGGTGTCGGTTAAATACATGAACGCAATAATATATAGCACTCAGTGGCCTTTATGGAGAGGTGTCCTTTATTCTGAGTGTTCTTTTTTAGAATACAACGCAAATTCTACTCCCAGTTTAGCTACATAGATGATCTTACCATAGACTCCAGCTTGTGTTGTGTTTTCTGCACTCATCCTTCTGGTCGTTAGCTCAACCTTCTTTGAGACATTTCGGTTTTTTCTGAGGAGCTCCTCTGGGCGATTTTCCCTTGCCTATCTTCTTCCCTGTCTCTCCATTCTCTCTTTTCTCCCTCTCCCAACTCTCACCCTCACTCCCCTCACTACTGCTTCCAAACACAGCCTCTTTGCCTTTCTCTTCGGTGGGACAAAGTCGGAGTCACTACCACTACCACCATCAGTGTTGCTAGCTCCACAGCTAGTCTTCCCCTGACTACTGAAGTAGGGAGACGTCTCACTGAAGTAGGGAGACGTCTCACTGGCTGTTGTGGGTGTCCTCTTCTCTTTCCTCTGCTTCCCTTTCCCCTTGCTCCCAGCAGTACTGGACTTGTTGGGTGGGGTTGAACGTTTCTCAGACGTGTCCGATTTTCCACAAGACAGCTTTCTTCTCTTTCCGATGCCACTTTCAACACTCTCAGAAGACCTTCTCTTTCCTCTCCCTCTCCCCCTTCTCCCACTCTCTCCCTCTCCCTCTGTCTTGGTAGTATTGGCCTCACTGCTTCCGTCCATACCAGCTTCTCTACCAGCACTCTGCTTAAGTTGCTCCATCAACCTGAAGAAATGTGGCCCAGGCTGTGGAGCACTGTCTTCTCCACGATGCCCTAACAGGGACGATTTAGTCTCCGGCAGTTTCCCACCAGAATCTAAATTAGTGGAGGTGTCAGTATCTCGAATGGTGAGTGAGTCACTGTTCTTCTGTCGACTAGGTCGGAATGAGATTGGGTTTAATGCGAGGACTAGTCTAGCTCGAAGACCGAGGACCCTCAGAACAGCAACCAGCAGCTGCACTGGGCTCAAACTAACACCAGACACCTCCAAACTCCCTCCTTCTGTCTCTCCGTCATCTTTGAGCGCCTGTCGAGATGTGGTCTTTACGTGCCACAAACCATCTGAGAACTTTGTACAGTTTTCCGGATGTGTTCAGGTGGAGTTCTCGCGGTACGAGGGAGAGTAGCCTTGGCCTGGAGAAGAGGGTCGCACGAGGCAGTGTTCATCCGGAGACCCTGCCCCAGTAGACAGAGGAGACTGGTCTTGTGGAGACCGTAGCGGAGCTCTCGGTCAAACGCTTCCATCGCCTTTTCGAGAGCATTCTTCCTCTTGCCCCTATTTGAAATACAATCACAACAATAATTTAACAATGTATATGAAGCTGAGAAAGGTTTAGTTATAGGGTTTCTACTTGTGAATAGAGCCTTTTGCTGGCAGCACAATCTCCACTGCGGTGGACTTGCTGCCCTCTCCATCTTTAGCTCCATACACTGAAGTAGGAAAGAAGAAGCTTATGAATGCAAGCTAGAAAGGAAGTACTATATCTTACCTGGATGAAAGCTCTCGACATCTTCCCACTCTCCTTCACTACTGCTGCTACTGGACGAGCTCATCAGCACCAACGTGTGTGAGTTTAAAGGTCGAATTGCTCGCGGGTCTACTACTACAAGACCCTCGCGAGTGGGATAGCCCCGCCCACATTCCCGTAGCTGCGTTGAGACCTCCTGGACCGGACAACGAGATGGGTGCTGGTCAGGGTCGCTCCAGAGAGGGAGGAGAGAATGGAACGGGTACCCAGAGACTCCAGTTCAACGTAGGAGACCCGCAAGACGAGGAAACGACCGAGGACAAGGAAGACGAGGTAGCTAGATGTACGGTCTGGCAATCGTGTTGGACGAGCGGTTTTTTTTCTGCATGAAAATATGTCTTACAGCAGGATGGTGAAGATGGGGCTGCAGTAGTTGTGGAGACGACACAGACAAGGTGAGGACTCCGAGTGTGATTAAAAGTGTTCATGATTCGTATGATACTAGAAATTGCATTAGGTCGGGCTTCTTGTGTGTTTTTAGCTATTTATCTCATCTTCTCAGCTACATGAGGTCTCAGTCAGTTCCAGCAGGTGGCGGTGGTGGACACCACATCACAACAACCAGTTCCTTCGCCCACACTGAGTAAGTATGGTACTGTCACAGATACTAATGAAAAGCACTAAAGTGCAAACCCTCGGAAATGTGGAACCCATACACAAGTGTGGCACCACCACAATTGATGGTCTTGACCATGCATCAAAAAGAACAGCATGTTATGCACTATTTCCATGGATTATTTTCGATAGGTTGAAAAAAGGCCCAGCCCCATTTCTGTTTGAGGCCCAACAAATATATAAGGTTGAAAAATTGCCAACCTTTCATCTCTCTATTAATTTTCGTATTACCCGTGGATTGTTTAGTGCAAAAAAAACAACCTAAGGTTGAAAAAAATTCGAACCCCTAGCAGCTGAGTTGCCCTGGTAGCTCAGTTGGTAGAGTGCTCACCTAGACTGCAGAGTGTCGTGGGTTTGAATCCCACCCATAGGGCAGCTCTTCTTCTTTTCTGAGCTGTCCTGGGTGTAGTTTACCTGTTTGCCTTGCCTTGCCTTTCTATATACCTCGTTACCAAGTTGTTGAGACATGTATATCTGACACTACTATTCTATACATAGAGTATCTCTATTTACTAAGAATTCAGAACTCTATAATATGTTGTTTAGTAAACAAACATACCAACATTCGGACTGCATGTCTTTAATACTCACACAAGACAATGAGCATACGTACGTAATCACGTGAACAGTTCATTCAACTGAATTATTTATATCTATATACTAAAGATATGCCCTCACTGTATGTTTCCTGTATGTTTCCTGTATGTGGTGTGTGGGACATAATGCAGAAGAAGCCTGAGTGTCCATGGAGGAGATGGGGAGTGGAGGGAGACAGCCACGGTGGCCCTGTCTCAGACGTACTCATTCTCAGTGAGAGACAGGGTCCTCACCGGTCCTCCTGCCTCCTTCCAGAGAGGTCGCAGAAGGTCGTCCAGTTTCCTCGAATACGTCGGAAGAAGGGTGAGTCTCTAAATATATTTTGTGGACGGTACAGATAATAAAGGTTTAGAGGAAGTGAAAATGAAATAGTTATGTCATGATGGAATCACTCCGCCACTGTCCAGTTGGGAGGTAACTTTCTCTATGAGCCAGAGGACATGATGGAGGGAGAGATGGTGGACAGTGGAGGAGGAGGAGAGAGGGAGGGAGGGGAGTGTCTGCGGTGCAAGCTGAGTCCTCCGGTACAGAGCACTCTTCGCAAAATCTTTGACGGAATAGTAAGTGACTGTGGGTGATGTCTTTGGTTTGTTCAAACTTTGAAAATGTGGGCGAGTTTTTCTCTTTCTGTTGAGCAATGTTAACTCATCTTGGCTGTTGAGTTCTGTCATCAACTCTCTCTTTTGACATTTTTTAAGGATAGGTTTATACAACAATTAGTGTTGCTATTCCACCCTTCAACTATAATCAAAGTACCAGTGATAGTTGGTTTGTCATTTCGTTGACTCACGTGCGTACCAAAAATGCAAAACAGTTCAGACACTTATTGCAAGGGGGTAGGGGATGTCTCTTGCATTAGGCTCCAGAGGAGGTAGTGGACTATCATGTACATCTGGTGGGTCATGGAACTCGGTTCTTGCTGCTACCTTCATGACTCTGTGAGTGAGCCAAGTGTGTCTCCTCCCTTCTCCTACCTTTGTCTCTCTTCTCCCCTGTTCCTTTCTCACACCAGACTCCAGGACTCCAGTGGCCATTTTCTCCTCCTTTGCACTCTTTCTTCTCCCCTTCCTTTCCTCTGCTACCTCCATGACTCTGTGAGTGAGCCAAGTGTGTCTCCTCCCTTCTCTCTCCTAGTATATACCTTTGTCATCTCTTTCTCCCCTTTCCTTTCCTCTGCTACCTCCATGACTCTGTGAGTGAGCCAAGTGTGTCTCCTCCCTTCTCCTACCTTTGTCATCTCTTTCTCCCCTTTCCTTTCCACTGCATTCATGACTATATGGTGGCCCTCTATTTCATTTATGACTCTGTGATGAGCACGTGTGCTCTCCTCCCTTTTTCTCTCTCCGTATTACCTTTGTCATCTCTTTCTCCCCTTTCCTTTCCACTGCATGCATGACTATATATGAGTGGGCCACTACTATTTCATTTATGACTCTGTAATAAGCAACGTGTGCTTCCTCCCTTTTTCTCTCTCCTATTTTTGTCATCTCTTTCTCTCCTTTCTTTCCCTCTGCTACCTGGGTAAGCCTCTTTCTCTCTCTCTTCCTTTGCTGTCCTCTTCCACCTTTATTGCTGCAAGTAAGTACTAATGTGTGTTTATTCTCTCCTCCTATTTATCCTTGTCACTTTCTTTCCCCTACATATCTTCTCCTGACAGACTAAAACGTGGAGGTATCCTCTGAGGAGGATAAAGACGCAGTGTTCATGGCTGCAGCCCAGAGCCCTGACATGGAGGGGTACAATACTGTACACATTAATACATACTGATACATACATACTGGTTAATACTGTACATACATACAACACGTACACATTAATACATATTGGTTGTGGGGTGGAGATGGTTCATATCAAATGGCTGGAGATTGAGTGCCACTCTCACGTGCAGATGCCAACTTTTCTATTGTTATAATAAGTGTATGCCCAATACCCAAACCAGTTTGTGGGGACAGGACTAAATGTAAGTCACGTGACCTGCATGTGATGCAGCCCCTCCCCCTCCCTCCCTCCAGTGGTGATCTCCAGTACATCTCGAGACTCATACGACTGGCCAGACACTTTGTCCCTGCAGCCGTCTTTGACCCTACCAGAGTACTACATCATACTTTAATACAGTGTTGATACATAGAGTACTAGATATGCCATTATAGACTTGTGCTGAGAATGTACCAGCAACTCTTGACTATTTTGCCATATAGTAGGTCAATTCACAGATTTCACGAGGCGGTATCGCTTTTATTATGTATGTTGGAGGATTTAATCTTTAGCCTCAACTGGAATGTACTACACAGGCTAAATATTTGTCTTATGAACTGAACTAAGACACTGATGTGTCCTTGTGGTCTGTTATAGAGTGGTTATCGCTCGGGGACACTGTGTCTGCTGGCCTTCGACAAGTTCTACGAGAAGAACGGCTCACCAGACAGGAACAAGACGACCATGGTGAGAGAAATAGTGCACAATCCTGTGTTTAGTTGCACCTGTCTTCCTTCCCTCCTCCCTCCCTCCCTATCCCCATTTCTTCTTCTTTTTTCTCTCTTCTCTCCCTCTCCTCACCTCCTCCTCACTCCTCCTCACCTCCTCCTCACTCACACACTGTATATATATAACAGTACATCCCCAACGAGTATGCAGTTCAAATAGCGGTCGAGTTCCCGGACCTGTTTGTCCCGTTTGGCTCGGTCAACCCCTATCGTCACGACGCCATCCAGGAGCTAGAGAAATGTGCTCAGTTGGGTGTCACCATCATCAAATGGCTGGTGAGCCAAAACTAAAGCCCCTCCTATACGTATGTATATACTATACCTCATAGCAGCCTCATATATAGCAGGGTGGGAAAACATTTGCAAAATCACATAGCATTTGGGGCTATCTGCAATACAGTGGAAACCATCCCTAAGTGATTTAACCCCTAGTAGAGATGTGCTCACTAATTATTTGCTTCTGTCGACTTTAGTGGGTTGGACACACACAGACAGTAACGGCAAGTTTTATCGACAAATTAACTCCCATTACCCCCCAGCCCAACTCTATGGGGATCGACCCTTCAGATGAGCAGTGTGTTCCTTTCTACATGAAGATGAATGAACTAGGAATGGTACGTTTGTCAACGTATATGGTCATCAACCCTGCACCCAGTGGCACGCCCATCGTATTGCTATAATATACACCACAGGCACTGCTGGTTCACATAGGAGAAGAACATGCAGTTAACGCGGCCTACATCAACAACAGACTTGGAAACCCTCTACTACTGAGGAGGTCTGTTACCAAAAAAAATCTCTCTGCACAGATGTTAGTTGAAAAATGCTCTCAGGGCGCTTGACTGTGGTGTAAAGGTCATTGGAGCTCACTGTGCTACTGAAGTAAGGATCATAACCCAGTATAATACTTTGTGTTGCTGAGAATGACCTTTTGGTTTGCCAATGACCTTTTGGTTTTGTCAATATAATATAGACTAGACCTTGTAGCGTGAAGCTTTCGAGAGTCAAGAATTGCACTGTCTGAATGGTGACCATTAACTTTATTCTATATAAGAAATCCACGACGTTGTTTGCTGGAGCGAATCGTGATAGAATTGTCCCGATTCCCGATTGAAAAGTTTTACTAAAAGCCAAATCTGTGTGAATGGAATAATGAGTGTCTGTACTTGGTCTCTATCTGTCAGGGAATGTCAGCTGATCTCGACAATGGCGGAGTGACTGTCTCCTGTTTCAGCCTCTTTCTCAGACTCATGAGAGAAGACAAGTAAGACGCACAGCTACACTCTATTTATAGACCTGAACAACACACAATGGTGTCAGTATAGGATGTGTGTGTGGTGCTACCAGCCTTGCATGTGACTATGCAATCTCTTTCTCAACTCGTCTCTCTCCCGACTCTGACCGAGTCTCACAACTGTCCATGTGCATTCACGAGTAACATTACGTAATGAGCTAGTTCAGAGGCTACATACCATTGAGTATGGACATGTGTCCTGCTCAGATTATCTCTCCCTCCTCTCTCTCAGATACAAGGGACTATTATTTGGTGACATATCTGCCACGTGTGGCTTCAAAAGACTACCATACTTGAAGCAGCTACTACAAGCCACAGTCGGTCATTGGTTATACACACATGTCAGTAATATTGAAATCTCTCCCTGTTCTAATTGAAGGACATCCACGACAGACTGGTGTATGGTTCAGATTACCCTGTACCTGCCATCAACCTGGTGGTCCATACTTCAAAACTGCTCCGGTATTCTATACACCACACTATATTCTATCAAGCATATATAGTACACACAGTACTCCAGCCCTTCCTTACTCTCCCTCTCCCTCTTCTTACTCTCCCTCTCTCCTCCACCAGACAAGGGTTCATTACGCAGGAAGAGGCCTCCGTCCTAAACGAACTCTACAACTACAACCCTCTGCTGTTTGACTTTGCCTGCAAGAGACTAGTGAGAGGACCTTCGGGAGAGAAGTTCCCTCCTCAGGTCTTCAAGGCCCACCCCCTCCTACCTCCGTTCAGACATGAATCTAAACTACTGGGATCACCAGTGTAGAGCCGTCTTAGCTGTGGCAGAGACTATACAGGTTGATTCTAGTGCTTTTTATTACGCGTGTCATGCTGTACATCAAGTATTTTGCTGTGGATGTAAAGTATTACGGTGACACACAATGACTTGTAGGTGACAGATCTATTATAATATTATTGATTACATTATACTGACAGAGCGAGCCATGAGGACTGATTAGTAATCTCGTGATTTCCTTCGTATATACACGCATGCACACACAATAATTATGTTGGCTCCATATATACTTATACTCAACCTATATACAGTACACACCTGACCTGTTTTGAAACACATCCATCCGCTTGCAACATAATTATGTATGTACCTTAGTGCATTTTATATAGTGCTCATCCAACAAACACAACGACGTCATTTAACCCCGTTGAAACCGGGGAACTAAAATTATCTGTATCATTATAGATGAGAGTACAGGCTGACTAATGAAAAAGGGACCTCAATGACCTATTAAGAGACAGGGAAAGAGGAGAGAGAGAGAGAGAGAGGGACAAAAAGAGAGCATACACACTATCTCCTGTCTCTCCTGCCACCATTGGCCGAGGAGAACGTGAATCGAAACAGATCCTGAGAAGAACCTTGTTCCCTGTCCTCTTCCCCTCCTTCCGCATTCTGCATGGAAACACCTCACAATCACAGAGCTCCACAAATCTCTCTAATGAATCTACTTGAAGCTAGCACCGTTTGAGACCAACAAACTAACATTTGTATGGATAAATCGATCGCATTTTGTCAAAATTCCACCAGTGGTTAGTGGTTAATTCAAGTTTCCCATTCACTGAATACACCATTATCTGGCTCTACATGTAAATGTTGTGTTTGCTGCACATAGCATTTAAGAAGAAGAAGATGAACAAAACTCCCTATCGTAGCCCCATACATCTATAACTATGCCGATCCCTATGTATTAAGTATTACCATACTTACCTCCATCTCCACCATCCAGTCCTGTAGTTCTTTACTGGAGGGAGCAACATACTGCTTCAGACTCACCAACCTAGGAATGGCATCCTGCCCTATGTGCCTCACCTATACAATGGACATACATTATAATAAAACATGCCCTTTTTGAAGGGGGCACATTAACATTAATATGGACACACATTTTTTTGAAGGGGGCCTATTAACTAATTCCAGCTTTATAGGCATCTGTGTAGCAGAATTCACATGTTACCTTCCTAAATTTCTTGAAGTTCTTGACTCCATTACGCCGTCCCATGTTCTTCTTGCTCTCCTTCTCCTTCCTCCTCTCCCCCCTCTCTCCCCCTGCCACCACCACCAGTTTGGTGAACACGACTTCTGCCAACTGCCCTCCATTCCCACCTCCTCCTCCTCCCCTCCTCCTCCTGCGTCGGGCATGTCAGAATGGTCTGAGAGCTGACTGTCTGCAAACGCTGCCAGTCGTCCCGCTCTGCTGGTCTGCAGCAGGAAAATAATAATGATAAGCTGTATAATACACACTGCCCACTGGTTTTATTTCCCTATGTTAACAGGTGAGGCTAACTAACAAAGACCAGAAGTCTGTCTTGAAACACTACAATTAGTGTCATCTTGAAATGTATTACGAACATGTACGTAATACATGTAGAGTGGAGGCTGGCTGGAAAAGGCACACTTATTCACTGGTTTATGCATTACAATGACAGTAATATTGAAACCGTGCTGTTCTAATTAAAGACCAACCTGTACTCGAGGCTTGACTCGCGAGCAAACGAATCCGTTCTCGTCGCATACTGGTTTGTAGACCTTCTTTGGGGCTTCCTCGTTAGCAGTGTTAACGAGAGGGTCTTCCCCATCCAATTGGTCCCTCCCGACTTCCTCCCAGAGACTGGTGTGTTCCTGATCGCTGGCCTTTGTCCTCCGACCTCCAGTCGCCACTAGACTGGTGAATGGAGTGAACATTCGAGATCTCTGGGTGGCCTGTGGAATAGAACAAAGTAGAGAGGGAGAAAAACGTAGCGAGTGCTAGAAATAAGCCAATGGGATTGAGCCAATCACTCCAAATGCATAACAAATAAAATAGCCAAAAGGGAATAAAAACTCCACTTATGGAGCCATTTTCAAAGAAGGGCACTACACATGTAATGAAACACACTACATTATAACTATGGACTCGAAGCATACAAATTTATCTTCATTTCCTATACTAATGTGGGGGTTCCCCAAAGATGGCCACATTATTGTGAAGACGATGACCGACCTGAGTAGTGAGCTGTGTGTGAGGGGAAGCAGCTCTGGATGATGAGGTGGGAGGTGGTGGGGCAGGAGTTGGGGTGACATCATCTCGCTGGCTCTTCCTCCGCCTATTCCTGGCCGACAGGAAGAGAGTGGGGTCGGGTGTGGTGGGCGGAGCTGCCTGAGTGATCTGGGTGGTGGGCGGAGGTGAGGGATTCGGGCGTGGCACGGGTGTGTCAGACGAGGCCTCAATCTCCATCTCTACGTCTTCAGGTTCTTGTTTAATCCTCTCATTCTGGTAGTCCAGTTTTTCTTGTGCCAGGCTAGGCTCCTTCTCTGTCTTAGCAGTGGTAATGTTGGTATTACCACATACAGCGGCACTGCGTCCATTGGTAGTGGTATTATCATCGCAGGTCTCAAGTAGAGGCAGACCTGCCATGATAGGTGGTAGCTGCTGGTGTTTGGAGGTACTAGGGGCGGAAGTAGTGGATTTTGCTCTACCTGATCCTCTTTTGCTCTTCAGACCTGAGAATAACCCCACGGAGGGGGCGTTGGCTCCACCATTTCCCACAGACGTTGACTGAGGTAACCCACTTCTTACTTCTTTACCGCCTTCCGACCTCTGGCACTTGGAAACTTCTTCCACACCCTCACTCATAATCGCTCCTTCCTTAATCTCTCCCTCCTCTGAACTTCCTTTCATTTCTCCATCCCCATCCCCCTCCTCTCCTTTCTTCCCTCTCTCCTCTTCCACCTTCTTCTTCTTACTCTGATTCTCCGCGTCCTCAGAGGTCTCGTTGACGGGTCGTTTCTTCCGACGACCACCGAAGGCAAACGCCAGTGTTTGTGAGTCTGGCAGTGGAGGTTTCTTGCTCTTATCCTGAGTACGCGGAGTGAGAGAACACGGTACAATCACACTACCTTCTTCCGGTTGGGAAGGAGAGGAGGGAACGAGAGACGAGGCATTAGGAGACTGTCTTTTCTTGGCCAGTTCAGAGGATGGGGCTCTTTCGTCAGATTTTGCCGGGATAGAGGGGCTCGGAACTATTTCATGATGGTCGTGAGGATATCCCTGTTCGTTAGGGCTCGGTCTCTTCGCTTCTCCTCCCTCCTGCCTTTCTCCCCTTCCAACAAGAGGCGGAGCGGGCCCTTCCTCCATTACCTCTTCTTCATCTTCGTCACCAAACAGAAAATCGAGCGGTTCTGCCTTTACTTCTTTATTTGCGGCTGACTCTGAAGGTTGCACAGCAGTCTTAGGAGCAGCAGGTGCAATAGATGAGGCATTCGCTGCGGTGCTAGTGGCCTCCGGTGGACGCTTATCTTTTCCACGTGGTTGCTTAACTGGAATTTTGCTTGGTAGATGGGTCACATCTGTAATGGCCTCTGAAGGCTCTTCGGTTTTAACGAGCACCGAGCTCTTATCGACCAGTGGGCTCTTATCTGACGGGCTCTTAACAGGGAACACGGTCTCGTTGACTTTAAGAGCACTACACGAGCTCGTCCTGCCCTTCGCGTGGGAGGGTCCGGGCTGTGATTGGTCAATTGAGTCAGGGGCAAGGATGGTGGTGTGTCCGCAGGGTCCTGGTTCGGGCTCCTGAGTGAAGGGGAGGGTGTGATGGTGGGAGGAGTGGGGCTGGGAGGGCGGAGCCTGGGAGAGGGTGGGCGGAGCCATTGGTGTGTTGGACGCTGGCATTTCTAAAGAGAGGGAGAGAGAAAAAACAGTATCTACTTGGTGTATTTGTGGGTGTAGATCAGACCACCTGCGAATTTTTCTTCATTTCACATACAATTTCAAATGAATATGTATCAGCTACCATTTCATTGCAGAGAAAGTGGCAACTCACTAGGACTGGCTCTGGGGTTGCAGTATTCCTCAGTGGATGTGTAGAGGAGAGCAAACCCAATCTCAGAGTCCTGCACTGCCCTCACATCGTGACTGTGGGAATGAGAATGAGGTGAACATTGAGAGTTTCTGAATCACCAAGTTTACGAGAAAAAGTAATACTCAACACACAAATATTAAACGTTTCCGCAGTTCGTGTTAATCTGTACGAATATTTTATCCTCCAGAAAAATATAGTTTGCATGGGTAAGCAAAAACTTATCTATGAAATAACAATTAATTTTGTCTCAGCAGCAAAAACTCTCCTCTAATGTCTCACCTTTTGAGAAACAGATAGACTTGTTTAATCCACTTCTGCTCGGGAGGCGTGGCCTGTTTAACGAGGTCTCCGTCGAGAGCCAGAACGACGGCGTCCCGGGCTACCAGAGAGTCCAGCGACGCTGACTGTGGGGAGCTGACGAGACGAAGAGTCGCCCCTGCTGGTTCCAGACACGACCTCAGTCGCCCCAACTGGGAACAGGAGAAAGAGGGGTGAACTAAATAACAAGAAACTTTCCAGCCCTATTCATACTCACATGAAATTTAAAAAACGATAAAAAAACTGTCCCAATCCCTACACTCTAGAGAATGTTCTCATCATAGCACCATACATCTATGTTGCTACAGGTGCAATACAAAGTACTACTGTAACTTAGTGATTCGTTAGAACTGAGCAAGACTGAAAATGCATAAAGAAGACCGTTGAACATGCACACCTGTTTCTCTGATAGAAAGTAGAAAACCCGATCCTTAAACAGGGCGGTCCTGTTGTAATCCGGGGCAAACAAGACAGCTTGTCTGTCTTCCCCGCAACCGGCGAGGTTTGAGTCCACGACCTGAGGCTGGTAGGCAGAGGGAGCGGGGAGAGGGAGGGAGGACCGGCGACAGCGTACTGCCTCTCTGACCCAGTCAGGAGACACCACTGGCTTACAGCTGGACAAGGCACACACCACCTGCAGAGGCGCATATATACTCCAATCGTCTTTCCACACTGACACAGAGAAAGTGGTGGATCAAGTATTATTCAGTGCACAAGTTTTTAAGGAACCCAGTTTGTCGAGCAAACAAAGAATGACGGTGTGTTTTTCTACCAAGCCAGAAATGTTTTCTCAGAAGGATTCCACCTACCATGGTTGTGTGTGTGTGTTAGTGGGGCAGACCTTGACGGTGACAGTGATGTTGGTCATGATGAGGTGGCTGCAGCGATGGCTCCAGCTGCTCACCACCTCGGCCCCCAGAGACCCGGCCTCCTGTTTCAGCCTCACACTCTCTGGTTTACTCATGGCCGAGCAGCAGAACACCAGCGGCTCGTACACCAACCTGCAACAGTGTGCAATAAACCTCCTTAAGATGCAGTTACCTCAGTCACCGTATGCCGCATAACATGATTATAGCAATAAATGTCTGAATAAGTGTGAATAGGACGTAAATGAGAACCCTTTAGAAGGAGACTTGGACAATTGGATAACAAGCAAAATATTATTTCGCTGAGAAAATGATGGTCAAAAAAACTGCTGGTTCTTGTAAAATGATGGTCAAAAACTCAAAAAACTTGCTATATAGTTCTTGTTGGAAAATTACTCAGACCTGAATCTGGAGTGGGTAGAAGGCACTCCCTGACCAAAGGTGACGATGTCGTTTTGTTTTAGCTCCAGTTTCTGACTTGCCCCCATTCGTTTGCCGTTGACAGCTGTGCCAAACTTTGACTTGCAGTCTGTTACAGTAACCACACCCGGCTGAAGGAGAGAGAGGGAAGGAGGGAGGGAAGGAAAGAGAAAAAGTAAGGAAAGAGAAAAAGTAAGGAGAAGAGTAAACAGAGCGGGGAAAGACAGATTTCAAATGAAAAGGGGAGTCAGTACAAGCTGCTCCAGCCTCACATTTCCCTCACTGACACAGAGAGTGGCATGTCTCCTACTAACACTCCCATCTCCACTCAGTAGAATGTCACAGTCTGTAGGGAAAATGCGTGCTCCTAACATGTTTGCTAAAGTATTACAAGTAACGCTACTTTCAGTATTTGTTTTTTGCTGTTTACCTTTTCTTCCGACCACCATTTCCCTGCCAGGGACCAGGGAATAGCGCCGGGCTGCAGGTAACGAAGTTTCTAGCAGACATTCGATTTGCAGCGTATGCGAGTCAACTTACCAGCTTTTGACACGCTCTGAAGGTACCACATTGTGACCCACACAAACGTAGCACATTTCAGAACCTCAATAGGGCTCTATATGTCGTCGTTGGCTTGCTAGCAAGCAAGTAAGCCTTTGCACCAAGACGCGCTGAAAGAAACCTCTAAAAGATGCCCACCCACTCCTCGGAGAAATTCGCGCATGCGCACTGCGAAACAAGCAGAACCACTTTTACGACCGCAAGAGAACCGGTAGGCGATGCAAAATATGGCCGCCTGAGCACCCTTCACTCTTTCGAGCGTATCTCGGCGAGGACCGCACGAAGCCGTTCTGTTGGAGGCGGAAAATACAGAGGAAAGGAGGGAGAAGAGCCGGAGAGCCATGGAAGACTTCATAACGCCCCCAGAGGCGCCCGTTTTTCAGCCGTCTGCGGAAGAATTCCGCGACCCTATCGCCTACCTGACCAAGATACGGCCGGTGGTAGTCAACACTGGCATCTGCAAAATCAGGCCGCCGGCTGTGAGTATTGCCCCCCTCTTTTCTTTCCCCTTTCCAAGCATTTATCAAGAGTGTCTTGCCCTGGGTTTCTGGTGTCCCTTGGTTACCACTTAACCATTTCACCCACTCTCTGTCTTTGTGTCCAATCCGAGAGAAAGACAATGTTTTTCACTTTGCTTCAAATGGAGGCCTGCACAAAAGAAGTGACCTGAATGTGTGTCCTCTAAGGGACATGGATTGAGGGTACTGAGATGTGTCCTTTATAGTGTGTTTGTAGCAGTTTTGGGTGGCCGTACAGGTACATATGTATATCCTCTTTTTGTTGTCAGAAGTTGAGCAGTCCGTCCACTGAGATGCGTAGTGACACCATCAGTTGCTCTGTTTCTCTTTTGTTTGGTGTACGGCCTAGAATCAGTGGTGGTGGTGGTGGTGGTGGGTGAAATTTTAATGGGCAGTCGGCATTTGTAGGAGGTGTGGTCTGTTGCTGTGGCTCTAGTTAGTATGCAGCATGCATGTAGGCTACATGTAGGTGGGCTGCCTGCTGGCATGTGTACTGTAAGTCTGCCAGCTGAGACATCTCATGTGTATGTACAGTACGTGTGTCTAGTCTCATGTGCATGTATGTAGATGGTGTCTACATTTGCCATGTCAGGATGTTTATTGGTACACTGGGGTTTTGAATTCAAATTTGTATCGTCTAGTTGTGTGTTTTCAAAAAGTTGTGAATGTACTACACATCGGACTCTCTCTCTCTCTCCTCTTCCTTCCCCTCTCTTTCTCCGTTTGTGTAGGGGTGGAAACCACCATTTTCGCTGGATGTCGAAAATTTTTCATTCACTCCAAGACTTCAGCCTCTGAATGAACTAGAGGTCAGTCACAGTTTTTGCCAACACACACACACGCACAGCTGCAGTGTTCATGCCTTCAGTGCAGGAAGAACAGTCTATCATCTCTCCTCTACATGTTTTTACCATCACAGGCAAAGACTAGAGTGAAACTTAATTTTCTGGAGCAATTGGCCAAATTTTGGGAGCTTCAGGTATATACTGTTACTTCTCTCTCCCACTTCCCCTCTATCTTCCTTTTCCTGCCACCCTTTCTTTCTTCCGCCGTTTTCAACAGTCATTTTTAGCACGAGTGACTCCTTCTCTCCCTTCACTATCATGATCTGTGTGTAAACACACAGAGTACATACACAATGATGCCTACCTGCCAAGATGTGTGTACATGTTGTACTGCACTCCTCCATGTAGTGAGAGAGCATTTACATCATTAGCCTTCAAAACTGAATGCCCTAATTGCCGGTCCCATGCATTTCTGGCTCATATCAAAAGGAACACTGTACTGAGCTAAGGTTATGATGTGTCCTACCCTTATAGTCTCTCCCCCTACTACATACATATATACCTTATACCACCCACTATCTTCTCACTCCAGTGAGCAATGAACATATACATGTAATCCCACTCCAGTAGTTACACCTACAGATTGTCAGGTATTCATGCTGACATCTATTACCCCATTCAGTCACCACCATAGCTCAAAGGGCAGGCTCTAAACATATTCACAGTCCATATGTTATATCCAGAGTTTCATCAGCAGCTTCTGTTTGCATGTGTGGGTGTAACATCTCTATGAATGACAATTTAGCCCGAGTAAAGCTGAGTGTGCGTGTTACTATTGGTTTATCCTGAGCACTCAACCTTGGCATGGCTGGCCTTTGTTCTCTTTCACTCATCTCACCCTTGTACACATTCCCTCTCCTCCCTGATCTCCCTCCCCTAACACACTTACACCATGTATATAGCTTTTAGTACTGGTTGCCAGGGTGATGATAGGGAATTTCACTATCTTTCCTGGGCATCTGCGCTGGAATGTGTTGTGCTGGTTTTGAAAGTTTGAAAAGTGGAAATTAGCTTCCCTCCCCTGTTATTGTTGACATTGCAAACAAACTGACCAAACCCTTTATTCTCAGGGAGTTTCGTTCAAGATTCCTAATGTAGACAGAAACCCTATGGATCTACACACTATCTTCAAGGTAATAATACGTAGGGTAATAATAATGCAGTGCATTCACCTACTAGTAATATGTACTGTATGTGCATACGTTATACAATATGTACTAGCCCGAGTTGGGCTGCACCGTAGTGGTCATAATATTATGTTACTCTCTAGGCTGTGACTGGGTTTGGAGGGTTCAGAGAGATGACCAAGCAGAGGAAGTGGTCTCAGCTAGCCAGAGAGGTTCAAAACCACACTCACACACACACACACACCATTGCATTTCTGTGCATCCAATCCCGCAATGGGCCGACCCCAATACTCATTCTCTATGTATGTACTACACATAAAAAGGAGGAATGATGAAACTCAAGCATACCATCTTTCGGGACTGAAGCACAGTGTCTTGTGTTGTGTTGATAATCCCTCTGACAACCTGACCTCCTGTAACTAAAAGTGAAACGTACAAATCTCAAATGTATGGACATAATGCAGGACAACCTGTGTCATCCCTATATACTAAGCACTACCGTACTTAGTGACACTAGTATATAATTGTAACCACACTAATATAGTACTATCCCAATGCAAGTGCACAAAGACTTGCTGGAGAGCCGTGCGTAATTAACTTGGAACGGATGATGATACCCTTTTGTGTGCAAAACACAGCTGGAGTGTACAGGTTAAATGTTTTATGTGCCGTGCCCACGGTAACGTATGGGATACCGTATTTTGTGTCGTCAATCCTGTCAAGAACAGCTTCTTGTATGTACGTACGTACTTCCTCTTTTTCGTAGAATTTCGATTTTAGACAGGAATTTTTCATAATTTGTTGCAACGGGGGGATCTGGGGCATGCTTTCCCAAGTGAAAATTTGGTTGCTCAGTGATTGAATAATTTCAGGTTCACTAGCCCCATCACACTTGTATAATATTATCTTTGCTGCTTTCTTGTGGTATGTATAATATGTAGGTTCTTTACTGTACATACATATACACATGTACTAGCTGGGCTATGATGGAGTGGGCGTGGCAGGGTCCATCCGACAGAACTATGAGAAGTATCTCTACCCGTACGAAGTCTTCCTGGCCAAGAGAGGCGGTCTGCAGGTACATACACTACATGTACAGTACACTACGTCGGCAACATTATGACTGGTAATGTTGCAAATTTTGATAGTTAGGTTTTTGGTCTGTGTATTCCGCGGATTGTGTGGTCACTTATACAAACAAGCCTTTCGCAAAAGGTTTTCCTACCAAACTTTTTGTGTTACTGAATCTGGCAAATGCCATTCTGCAATCTTCTCTCCCTCTCACCTTATGTACCTCCTCCTCTCTGGAGCAGCTAAAGTCCAGCCCTCAGAAGAGAAGCTCGGCCAGCAGTAGTCCCAACAAGCCAACCCCTCCTCCTCCACCGCCATCGTCGTCGCCTCCTCCCCTCTCGTCCTCGGCCTCTCCTGGTCTCCAGGCCGGCCGCTCGCAGAGTAGTAAACCCTGCAAGTATGGATTGAGACAGAACAGACGTAGACCGTCTACTAGAGAGGTGAGCTGTTGGTTGCAGGAAGTGTGTTTTCCACACCAATTTTTCCCATCAGAAATTACGAATTGTACATTATGTATGTTGCGTTGCTGCAGGATCCAGACTATTCAGTGGAGATAGAGGTGGATCACCCTGAGTTCAAGAAGCTTGCTTTTACCAGTCCGGGACCAAAGAACGCCTTTGCTCCCCTCCAGAGGAGCGGGTATGGGAGACAGCACAACGCGGGGACGGACGAAGGGGAAGATGGAGTGGGGGAGGGAAAAGATGAGCATTCTGGTGTCGTTTCTACCACTGCCAGTGAAGGTCAGTTTCAAATGTGTACCCAAATCCCTCTCTCTTCCTTCCTCGCCCCTCTCCAAAGTTTCTTGCGTTCCATCTGCATAATTATATGGTGGCTACTCTAGCTCCTTTTTTAAGTGTTGCGTTGGACATTGTTGACTTGGTAGTTCATGCACATTCTCTACATATTCTTCCACGCAACTGCCTTTTACTACTCTCTCCCTGTCTGTGTATGTATATCTCCAGGTACAACGGAGGTAAAGCAGGAGCAACCAGTCTCAACTCCTGCTGACTCAGCTACTGTGCAACCACCCCCACCCCTTCTCCAACCCTCTCTCGCTCCACAACCACCATCATCATCATCATCATCATCATCATCACAGGCAGCCCCCTCTTCCTTCTCTACCTCTTCTCTATCGACAGTCACAGTCACTACTGAAGGAGTCAAGACAGAACAGGCGTCCATGCTACAACTTGACGACCCTAAGGTATACACATGCAGGCATGTACATGTAACACTATGTAGTTGATCTACGTATGTAGTACTTATGATTAATGTACCTATGATTCCATTTGCTTACAATCAAATGTCTCTTTTTCTGGTATCCCCTCCCAGCCCCTCCCGGTAGAGGAGGTCAAGTGTGAAGAGTGTGGTAGTGGAGATGTAGACGAGGAGCTGTTGTTGTGTGACGGCTGTGACTCGAGTTACCACACGTTCTGTCTGGACCCACCTCTTCCCTCCATCCCTCCCGGAGACTGGAGGTGTCCTTCCTGTGTGGCTCAGGTTCTTATTTACCTGTACCTCCATCTCTTTGCTTTTTCATAGCTACTTTACCTGTACCTCTATCTCTTTGCTTTTTCATAGCTAAAACAATACTTTACCTGTACCTCCATCTCTTTGCTTTTTCATAGCTAAAACAATACTTTACCTGTACCCCCATCTATCACTTTGCTTTTTTCGTAGCTAAAACAATACTTTACCTGTACACCTCTATTTCTTTGCTTTTTCATAGCTAAAACAATACTTTACCTGTACCTCTATCTCTTTGCTTTTTTCATAGCTAAAACAATACTTTACCTGTACCTCTATCTCTTTGCTTTTTCATAGCTAAAACAATATCTTACCTGCTACCTCTATCTCTCCTTTGCTTTTTCATAGCTAAAACAATACTTTACCTGTACCTCTATCTCTTTGCTTTTTTCATAGCTAAAACAATACTTTACCTGTACCTCTATCTCTTTGCTTTTTCATAGCTAAAACAATACTTTACCTGTACCTCTATCTCTTTGCTTTTTTCATAGCTAAAACAATACTTTACCTGTACCTCTATCTCTTTGCTTTTTTCATAGCTAAAACAATACTTTACCTGTACCTCTATCTCTTTGCTTTTTTCATAGCTAAAACAAACTTTACTGTACCCTATCTCTTTGCTTTTTTCAAGCAAAACAAACTTACTGTACTCTATCACTAAGTTAGCATTGTGGATAACAGCAGTGGGTTTGCTTACAGGTAGTGGGGAAGGATTGAATTAGGTTTTTGGAGCTTTTTTCTCTTCTTCTCCTTTCTTCACTTTGAGTTAGTGTACTGAACAGAATAATGTTTTACATACATCATTCACGTACCCTAAAAGCATACTCAAGTCATGAGTAATGTATTGCTATGTTCAGAATCGAGTCACAAAGTTTCTGCTGTGCGCTGATCTGCAGGCATGCACAGAGGACCAGGAGGCGTTTGGATTTGAGCAGTCCAAGAAGTCGTACTCTCTGGAGACATTTGGAGAGAGGGCAAACCAATTCAAGTCCTGCTACTTCAATAGACACCCTACCGTGAGAGTTTTAACCCTTTAGTTCCCCTGTGTGTGTGGTCAGGAAAGGGTTAATGGTGGAAGAGCAATGATAAGCACCCCACTCCGTGTTAACCCTTTCTGCTTCCAGTCTTTGTGGTAATGAAGGGGTTATTTGTGGAGGAATGATGAGATGGAATATTAACCATCTTTCGGGACAGAATTGTATATATATACGAGCTGTTGATATTGTCCTCTGACAAACTGACCTCCACTGAACCCAGCTTTTGACCTCTCTCTCTCCTCTCTCTCTCTCTCTCTCTCCTTCTATGTTGCTGACATTGTGTGTTTGTATTTTTGGGCATCTGTCCTTATTGCTGACTGTCCGGCCCTCTCTCTCTCTCTCTCTCTCTCCCATCATCAGGAAGTACCATACTCCACAGTGGAGAAGGAATTCTGGAGACTAGTCAGCTCCATTGAAGATGACGTAAGTCTTACAGAAAACTAATGTGACTGAACTACATGTGTAAGGTAACTACTTTACAGTGCCAGTTGTATAAGTACAGTTTCTGCTCTTTAGCAGGCCTTATATATGTATATCTCATGCTGTTTTCTCTTCTTGCTTTTTCGGTCCAAATATTGCCTCTATTTCTAGTATCCCAATCTTGCATCTGCTTCGCTGACCCTATCACGCACGTATCTCATCCTCTCTCTCTCTCTCTCTCCTCCCTTCTTGCACACACACACACACACACGTCAGGTGACAGTGGAGTACGGAGCGGACCTCCACACCAGTCAACACGGGAGTGGGTTCCCAACTTCTAGCAATACGGTCACGGGGTGGGGGCGGGGCAGGGGGCGGAGCCAGCTGAGGAAGATGAAGGCGACGAGTATTTGGTGTCCGGGTGGAACCTGAACAATATATCTAACCTCAAGGGTTCCATTCTTCGCTATATTAGTGCCGACATCTCTGGCATGAAGGTGAGGAATGAAGGAGAATAGATTATGTACCAAGAGTACGGCGGTTTGAAATACCCAAATCTGATTGGTCAACTAGGAGAAAAACTGGTCCACGGAAATCAGTAGGAAATGAAATGTACTCTGTCAGGCGCACTAGCGGCTATGGGGCGCTGTGATGAGTGTGGCTATGGGGCGCTGTTAGTGATCATGAGTGAACTGAAGTTGTACTATTACTGACTGCATGTTCTGTTTGTATTTCTGCCAGGTGCCGTGGCTGTACATTGGGATGTGTTTCTCCTGTTTCTGTTGGCACATTGAGGACCACTGGAGCTACTCCATCAACTACCTTCACTGGTACATGTACTAGTATTTTGGAGAACCCACACTTACAGCTAATCTATTCTCTTTGTCGCTCCTGTACTTTGTGTTTCTTTCACACACATACTGTACACGCATGCCTTCCATATAACCATAAGTTTTGGTGGGCATTAAATATAGTATGAGATTTTTCCTAAAAAAGTTGTTTCTCCACATGCAAGAAACCTATACAACATAGCCAATTTCAACACAGATTGCTATAGAGGTCTCTCTTCTTCTTCCCTCGCCTCTTCTGTGGTGATTTTGTATTCACCTCTTCTCTCCGTCTTTTCTCTGTCTCGTAGGGGAGAGGCTAAGACGTGGTACGGCGTGCCCCCGGCCTACGCCGAGTGTCTGGAGGCCACTATGAAGGAACAGGCTCCGGAGCTGTTTGAGGACCATCCTGACCTCATGCACCATCTCGCCACCATTCTCTCTCCGGCCGTCCTCATGAAACACGGAATACCGGTACTGAGCCTCTCTGATTATTAGTGTACCTCATGATGTACATCACAGTCAATGTTTCGAACTTGGCTTAGCTAGTATGCTATAATACATTTCGCAACTTCCCTGGGACCATACATACACCTCAGAAACCAAAGTAATGTGTGTATTATCTATACAGGCCTACGCCGTACATGTTGGTAGAGCACTTGCCTAGACTGCAGAGTGTCGTGGGTTTTAATCACACCCAGGACAGCTCTTCTTCTTTTCTTTGAAAAGAAAGAGCTGTCCTGGGTGTAGTTGACCTATTTGCCTTGCCTTGCCTTTCTACCTCACTACCAAGTTGTTGAGCCATGTATGTATAGTGAAGTAATGGTAGAAGTTGCATGTGTGTACAGATGTCTAGGTCAATAGTGTTTAAGTCACAGCTTTCTTTAGAGTGTTTGTTCATAGGTCTTTGTGTATGTGTGTGGAGGGATGATGAAAGTATGACTCTAGTCATATGTACACACACACTGCTGATACCCTGTGGTGCTGACCTCCATTCTACACGTGTAGACAGCTCATAATACTACATGCACAGTACATGATCGCAGTGTGATCACAGCACTAGCACATGGTACTGTCCTCACAGTTGGGATTGTTTTGCTTTACAATCACAGAGTAGTATGAGACGTTCAACGATCTGGGTGTTACAATTGTAAGCATCATCTCTTGCTTCATGCAATACAAACTCACTGATTATACTGAGGTGCATTTCGACTCAGTGCATAACGTGACAGTGTGTGTGACTGTGTACCAATGCGATGGTGCGGGTGGTGAGGACGGACCAGTTTCGTAGCTGCACACATTGACACACTAAATGCAGTGACCATTGTCATGTGTGACACTATACTACTGTGATGGTGCAGGTGGTGAGAACGGACCAGTGTGAGGGAGAGTTCGTGGTGACCTTCCCCAGAGCCTACCACGCCGGGTTCAACCAGGGCTTCAACTGTGCCGAGGCCGTCAACTTCCTCCTTGGAGACTGGGTATGTGTATATAGGTGGGGGCCGCAGTGGGCTAGGGGTTAATTAATGAAGAGAAAGTTCAAGACAGATGATGTTAGATGTACATACATAAGAAATGAGGCAGAGTGGCAGAGATGTACAGGGGTGAAGGTGATATGATAGGAGCACCGTATTTGGACATGTACGTAGCTTCAAAATCAGTACAAAGTGTAATAGTTAATTGTCTTCTTACGAAGAGTGTTGTGTGCTCACATTTGAACATAATGTACATTCTTGACTATTAGACAGTCTTTAGCATGAAAAGTTGCTCCCTACACTCCCTATAGCTGCCCATAGGTCGTCAGAGTATCGACCACTACCGTTCCCTGTCCCGAACACCAGTCTTCTCCCACGACGAGCTCCTGTGTAAGATGGTGGCCCAGCCGGACAAGTTGGAGCTGTGTCTCCTCCCCACCTCCAGTGAGGACATGGCCCACATGACGTCTCTGGAGGAGCGGCTACGACAGGACCTCAGACAGAGGGTGAGTGAGTCTAGATCCAACATTTTGAAGGCGAGGGAAGAGGAAAAGACAAAGTTAAGAGGGGCTGGCATAGTGAATATGGTCGGAGTGAGATAGGGGGAGGGGCAAATGAGATAGGGGGAAAGGCGAAGGCTGGGAAAGACATAGGGGAAAAAGATAAAAATTTGCAGCAAGATGGGGGAGCACTGTAAATGTTAGAGCGATTTTCCTCAGCCTCCTCTTTAGCTGTGTCTTCTGTAGCTAGCCAGTACGATGTGGTAGGCAATAGTTCAGCATGTGGTGAGTACTACGGCCTTCCAGTCACCTGAAAAAACATTTTGAAAGTTTGTCCTCACACAATTATCACAACACAGTGTACATGTATCTCTACACTCATGGTGGCCCCAACGCACACTCCTCTAGTGTAAAGCCAGTATACCATGTGGTCCATGTATAATGTATGCAGGAATAAGAATGAATAGGTTTTCGTGATAAGCTTACACACACATGAAGACCCAATCCAATAGACCATAGTGTGTGTGTAATATCCACATGTGCTGGTCACAGGGGATGGTACAGGAGCAGAGGGAGGTGTTTGAGCTGGCGAGTGACGAGGACAGACTCTGCTCCGTTTGCTCCACCTACTGCTTCCTCTCTGGCGTCAGATGCCCCTGCAGCCCCAGTGAGTTGTTACGTAACGTTGCACAAACACACACACACACATCTCTCTCTCTCTTCCTCTTCTCAGAGAAACTGGCGTGTGCCTATCACAGCAGTGAGATCTGTGACTGTGCTCACTCCAAGAAGGTCCTCAGGTATTACAACTACTTATTATCCATATCCAGACCTGTACAATATGCACAATGTATTATATTACAGTACCAAACCAGACCTTTAATTTTAGTATTCTGACTGAGCCACTTGCTCGATCATCGTTGTTAACACACTGATAATACATGCATAGTTGTCTACTCTAGTTCAATCTACACGTATAAGTTGTTGTCTACTCTAGTTCAATGTACACGTATAAGTTGTTGTCTACTCTAGTTCAATGTACACGTATAAGTTGTTGTCTACTCTAGTTCAATGTACACGTATAAGTTGTTGTCTACTCTAGTTCAATGTACACGTATAAGTTGTTGTCTACTCTAGTTCAATGTACACGTATAAGTTGTTGTCTACTCTAGTTCAATGTACACGTATAAGTTGTTGCGTAAGTCTATCTCCTCCTCCGTCTCCCAAGGTACCGATACACTATAGAGGAGCTGCGTGGGATGCTGAGGGGGATCCAGTCTCGCTCCCACTCATACAGCTCCTGGTGTAGACAGGTCGACACCCTCCTGGACGGTGTGGGGGAGGATAAATGTGGTACGTAGGGTCTAACTAACGGAAAAAACGGCGTCAAGTTTCTTTTTTAAGGTGTACTTGAGCAGCACATTTTAAAACTTCATTAGGAACAATTAAAATGATTTTTCGACCTTGTTTAGTGCCTCATCAATCTCAATCTCCTTCCCTCCGCTTGTAGTTGATGTGTAAAATCTTATTTGGTGTGCATAATTTGTAGATCTGCAGCTTCTAAAGAGTCTGATGGAGGAGGGCACTAATAAGAACTTTACCAGCTGTCCCACTTACGAAGAGCTCAGGGATACCATCAAGGTACCGATACACTTTAGCACACACTTGTAAGCTGGTATATAATATATTGCTGGATTATGTGTTAGTTATACTGAACAGTTTTTTAGGTACAATTAGACCTACATTAGTCTCAAAATGACGGTAGACCTGAGCGACATGTGACTGTTGTGAGATATTACAGATAAACTGAGACTAGTGCAACTTTGTGTTTTGTGTGGTAATATGTAGGATGTGGAGGAGAGTGCCAGCGTAGCCGTCCAGCTAACGAAGAGGGGCAGGAAGACGGAGAGGGAAGCGAGAGGAGGAGGGATGGATCAATACCAGAAGTGGCTCTTTTCCACCGGTATGCACACATCCCATTGTTAGCCTCAACAGGCACAAGTAAAAGAACACTTTGCCACTCGAAGCATGTTGTGGTCTTTCGTGCAGTTGATGTGGAAAATGTGAGGAGTTTCTGAGGCAAGTGGAGACTCTGCCATGCAAGGTGCCGGAGGCCAAGCTACTGGAGGTGCGTTCTGGTTCATGGTGTCCTTCTCTGTATATTATGAATTTACTAATTCAGGAGCAACTTATCCGCATACTCTAATTATCCGAACGGCAAAATACATATTATACTACATACATATTGCGACTGCACAATAGCCGTCTTGACCTTTGAACTCGACCCCGTGCTGTTTTTTCATTGCCGACGAGTAGCAAACGATGCTAGCTACATACTTGTCCCCGACGTTTGAAACAAGGGAAGAAGCATAAAAGTGCCACCCTGTGCAGGACCACCTGGGAGATGTTGAGTCGTTCCAGGAAGAGGCCCGAGAGGAGCTGCAGAGAGTGGCCACGCAGGCAGAGCTCCAGGAGACATCCCCCGCCACCCACCTCGCCGGTCTTCTGGCCAGGGGGGAGGAGCTGGGGATAATGGTCCCCGAGCTGGACCTCCTGCGAGTGGTGAGTCTGTGGCTCTGGCTGACCCACTTCAACCTCACTGTCAGTGCCTTAGATGTTGTTTGTTGCAGGAAAAACCTTTTGCTGTCTCATATCTCATAGTGCAGAAAAGAAAGTGTGCATGTTTACACTTAGTGCAAGCAGTTTTGAGTGCTTGAAGACATGGAACATGTTTGGTCAGAGTTACAATCTTTTTGAAGAGCAATCAATTATGAATTTACCTGTTGTTTGGTTCGAGCAACAACGAGAACTTGTACACATAATATACAAACTAAAACAGACTACCAATATTATATATATGTATACACAGGCTTGTGTTCTAGAATGTTCTAGAATGTTCTAATGATAGGCACATGGTACAGGTAAAGGTTGAAAAACGGTCTCCTCCAACAGGCGGTGGAGCAGAGTCAGTGGGTGATGGAGACGGAGGCCAAGCTGAAACTGGAGGTGGTGTCCATGGAGGGGCTAAAGAGACTCGTGAAACAGGCCGCCGTCATGGAGCAGAGCAGAGTGGTGCAGGTGGTGTCACGGAGGATGCGAGAGCTCCTGACTGCGGCTCACGACTGGGAGAACGAGGCCAAGACCGCACTCAAACAGAGGTGGGTCTGGTACACATGGAGAAAACAAACAGCTCACTCTTTCACGTGGAGAAAGAAGAAAACGAGAGGAGGGAGAGGGGAGGGATGCTAAAGTGCACACATACATGTATAATATAATGTAGCAGTGTGGAGTGACCTCCAGTAATGCCGCAAGTTGTGTGGCAACGTGAAACCTCAGAGAAAAAGAAAATATTTCACGATTCGGTGGGAGAATTAACACACTGCGCGAACAATTTACTGTGTGTGCAAAATTCACAAGCTGTGTGGTTCGCAAATAATGTCTGCATCAGAAGTTCCCTGCTAGTATGCAGTATTTCTCCCATTCACCCCTCTTGTGACTCTTTTTACTCCCCACTATTTAGTTTTTCTCCCTCCGTCTCCCCCAGACCTCCTCACCCGGCCTCCTACCTGGAGAACCTGCTGGCAAAGGCTCGTCACATCTCAGTCCAGCTCCCCTCCAAGAGTCTCCTGGTGGACACTCTGGACAGGGCCGCTCAGTGGAAGAAACAGGCCCAGCAATTACAGGTATACTGAGACAAACTTTACCTTTCTTTAACTTTCTTTACTTTACACTCTGTGCGGATGTGATACACTGCATGTCTGAAGTTAACTTTTGGAGTCCATTGTGCGTTTGTGCCTCGAACCTCATGTCTGCACACACACTGGAGCGTAATGAAACTCGGAGTGTATGTTGTACAGTGTAATTTGCGTCTTTTGCGTGTTTGTGTGCCAAAGTGAAACATTGTAGAACTCTTTTAGTTGCACTGTATACATAATGTACTCTTCCTCTATTACGCCATTATCCCCTCGACTCTCGGTCCTACAAATCCCCCGTCATTATTTTTTATACCACACCCTCTCCCTCTCTCCAGGACAATGACAGTCACCCTCACTACGACCATCTCAAGTGCCTCCTCTCCACCGGTCGACCATTAGCAGCCAAACTGGACCTGCTAGCTCAGCTGGAGTCGCGCCACGCTGCAGCCAAGGGCTGGGTGGATCGAGCCGGGAGGACTTTCATCAAGAAAAGCTCGGTCGCCTCCCTTCTTGAGGTATACATTATTATGATGATACAACTGGGAGAGAGGGGAAGCAGTGTATTAGGCGAAAGGAAAGGAGCGAGGAAGAGGGAGGTGGTGTGTTGTTAATGGAGGGATGACGACAATATTATACAAGTCTGAGTCTATACATACAGCACTGCTGATACCCTGTGGTACTGACCTCCAGTGATAACCTCCCTCGATCCACCTTTACATGTACACACATACCACATGTATATTTACACTCTGGAATACCGAATGGGTACCATTTACATTATAGGCCCCTACAAATTTACACTGGCAACTTTTGTTACAATCCTAAAGCAGAGCTTCAGTCTAATGATGTATATGTACAACACACCGGACCACCGTCACCCATTTATTGTACAACTTGAAAGTTGCACAAGACTTTGTACAGTATTTTCACCATTTACTCCAACTCTGCAATGTGCCCCTCTACTACAAACTCCACCCAGGTGCTGCTGCCGCGAACCAAGTCAGTGTTCTTCCAGAGGTTCAACGGAACTGGGAAGTCGGGAAAGAAGAAACTGGACTCCCACCACTCGTCTGTCGTCGGGGAGCTAGAGGTGGGGAAATCCCCTGTCTCGGACCTGGGCGGAGACAGACTCCGGGAGATGGAGAAGATTCACTCCATGGAGGAGGAGGAGGTGGGGAGAGAGTCTGCGTCCGTTGGCAGTCGTGTTTACAGTTCCCACATTTTCTATTTCGTGAATGAAATTTTGAGGGAGTAGTTTGAGCCCTCTCTAAAAAGTATCTCGTATTTAGTTTTGTGTTAAGAAACGAAAATCTCCATTTCCTATATTTCCTCCCCGTAAATCATCTACACATTAGCTTCTTACTACATGACTGCATGTGTCAACAACAAGATGAGGTAGAAAAGCAAACGGCAAAGCAAACAAGTCGACTGCGCATGTACAGACATTATGGACATATAGAGTTAAAATATTGCAGCATGTCATACAAGTCCCTCTTTCACTTTTCATCTGTTTTCAGACCCAGTGTATGAAACAGCTGCGTAACGAGAACCTGGAGAAGATGGAGCGAGACGAGGGGGGCAGGAAATGCTCCTCCCACTCTCCCGTCGTCTACTGCTTCTGCCGGAAACCAGAGTCGGGCTACATGCTCCAGTGCGAACTCTGCAACGAGTGGTACCACGCCACCTGTCTCCACATCCCCAAGGGGAAACGAACGGCCGGGAGAGACATCGGGAAAGACTCTCGGTTCCTCTGCGCCCTCTGTCTCCGCACGCGACGCCCGCGACTCGACGCAATCGTATCCCTCCTCATATCCTTACAGAAGGTCCCGGTGGCCATATCGGAGGGGACGGCGCTACACTGTCTCGCAGAGAGAGCAATCTCGTGGCAGAAGAGGGCCCGGCAGGAGATCTCTAACTGCAACACCATTCTGGAGGCGGCAAAGCAACAGATGCGGAGGGTGGAGGAGGTGAAGAACCACATCTCCAAGTGGAAGACAGAGATGCAGTTGACGGCCGAGGAGAGACAGAGACCGACGTCCATTGAGGCTCAGCTGGCCTCTTCTGCCGGTGAGATCTTCTTCCTCGTTCTAATTATACGAGAGTTGTTGATTGTAAGATGCTGGGAAGGTGAAGCAAGCTTGTCTGGTTGTCAGAATTGTATGTGCAGAGTGTGGCATACTAAAACCAACTATTCAAACTTCTGCGGTTCTATTTTGCATATTATAATGTGTGATAATTATACACTTCGGTTGCTGAAAGTGTGCTGCATTGTTATCCATTGAACCTCTGGTCACCTTTGCCTTTTTCTCTCTCCTCTCCTCTCCTCTCCTCTCCTCTCCCACCTCCCTCCAATCCCCACCAGGCTCAGTTCTGGCCCACTACAACTCTGAGCTGCAGAGACTCCGCTCCGAGTACGCGGGGCTATCGGGCATCAAGAGGGAGTCTCTGGAGCAGCTGCTAATGGAGGGGGACCTCCTCGAAGTGACGATGGACGAGGTCCAGCAACTGTGGCAGCTACTCCAACTGGACACGGAGTATGTCTCTGCCTTTGACACCTCCCCAGCCAAAGTTGGAGGTCGAGCAAACGCCACCACCAACAACAAACAAGAGGTAACGTGTCAGTGTCAATATGTGCTCCATAAAAAATTTAAGGTGTACTTCCAACAAACTTTGTCGTGTGTGAAGATTGTCTCTCCAGAATCTTCTGGGGACAGTGTTGTACATCTCTCTCTCTCTCTCTCCTCCATTCTCCAGAGCTCAGGTGGGCAAGAGGAGAAACAGCTGAGGGGAAGGAAGAGAAGCGTGGCCTCTCCATGTTCCTCTGATGGTTCTGTCACTCCCACTAGTTAGTCACTTCCTCCATCCTCTCTCTCTCTCTCTCTGTATCAGTTCACGTATGCTCCACACACAGCAAAATACATAGATAATGCATTCCTCCAGTAACTATGCTTTTGTGCTCTAGTGAACTCTTTACTTACCTGTACAGTCATACATGTAGTTGTCTGAATAGCATGTTACAAACGATGATGATTCTGCCGTATTAATGTTGTCAATACTCATCCGCAAATGTGTATCTACATATCATGATCTTGTGTTAGCTGCCAAACATGTTCATTGCTTATCTCTATGACTGTAGGTAAGAGGAGAAGGACACCAGTAGCCAGTGGAGGCAGTTCCACTCCCAGCACTCGCTCCGGCTCTGTCAAGGGAGACACCACCCCAGTCTCCAAGTCCTCCCTCTCCCCCCAGCCGCAACAGCTCGCCAAACTCGTCAAACCAGGGGCTGCCTCGTCAGCCGGAAAACAACAAACCCCGGCAACACTCAGACGACGTACGGGGGTACCTGCTAACCCCTCGTCCCAAGATCTCGGGTGTCACGAGGAGATAGTGATGGAGGAAGAAGATGAAGATGAGGAGGAGGAGGAGGAGGAAGAGGCGGAGTGTTTAGCGACACAATGTCTGCAGCCAGTGGCGGACCAGATCATCTGGGTACAGTGCGACCACTGCCACGAATGGTTCCACTGCGTCTGTGTCGGACTCACAAAGGAGTACGCAGAGCAGATTGATGTCTACAAGTGTGCAGCGTGCAAGCAGGTCGCAACGACTACAGTAGTACCAGTGACTTCTGCAGTGGGGCTGGCTCTTGCATCTCGACCCGCTACGAAAGTTGGAACCCTTCTCTCTTCCTTTTCCTCATCGTCCTCTTCCTCCATTTCCCCGGGGCAGACCTAATCTTATTCCGCTCTGATTTGTGGCTCCGTGCCGTAAAAAATCTGTATAATATTGTATAATAGACTGCGGACCTTGAAATGTGGTGTCACTCTGTTGTATGGTGTGTGTGTATGTGTGTGTGTGTGTCGTACCTTGTGTGTAGTTTGTTAGCTGTCCTTTGTCAGTGTAAGAAAATCACCCTCTGAAAATAATACTCTTTCCTCCCTTACACTTGAGTGAAATGAATAGTATGGTGGTGGTGCATATCCAACACAGTGCGGTTGGACCATGTGTTTGGACCCGCCCATCCCGGAAACGGGCAAATCCGGGTCATAAAGACGGGACTCCAAGATGGCCGCCGAAGAGAGCCCGGGACAACAAGGACTCTCTCCACAGCGACACAGAGAGCTTTTCGGGCGATTTTGCCGACAAAAGTTCCACGACGGAGGGCGCGGGTGCAGCAAGACGGTGTCCAGCAAGAAGCGAGACAGGATAGTTCGCTACCTCAGCAACAAACTGGAAGCCGACGCCGTTTCGCCGCATTTTCGATTCTGGGTCAAGACCCGCGGGTTTCAGCTGGTGGAGATGGACGGGGCGCAGGTCCTGTGCCTTCCCAACAAGCAGAGGGTAAGGGACGGCCCGAAAGGCTGCGGGCACACGCGAAATAAACGGGGTGACAAAGTATACGGACCTCCGCGCACACGAAATAAACGGAGTCGGTACGTTTTACTCGCGACCTCTCGCGAGTGCAGGTGGAATCTGACCCCGAGTCGGTGGGGTGGAAGAGAGTGGTGTCAGTGGAGGAATTCTTTGATGTGATAGCAACTCATCACCTTGTGGAGGATGGCTGTCACCTCGGGATCAAGAAGACGCTCTCAAAGGTCTGTATGCATGAAGGTATTAGACCATGTGTGTATATACACCAGGGCTGAAGGATCGTCTGAAGGGGGGAACTTGTTGTAAGTGATTGGCGCTAAAAAGGTAGTAGATTACTTGTGAATAACACCTCTGCGTAATTGCTGTCCCTAGCCCACAGTATCTTAATAATTATTATGTATCAACATTTTTGAATACATTTCTCCCTCTGAAGTTTCACACTACTAATACTAGGAGGGATTGTTGTAACATAGGGGCAATTGTTCAAAAGATGGACACATGCGAGTGCAATTATTATCCCTGGAGATTCTGCATTGTTTCAATATTACTATCCCCCTGGCTGTAGATTGTAAAGAAATATGAGTGTATGACCAGGACTGCTGTGGAAGGGTACATGGAGCTATGCAGTGGGTGTCGAGGTAGGGCCAGGAAACGAGGTGGGCGGGGCCTTGCTGTGACTCCACCCACTGGTCGTCTGAGGGACTCCAACCCCATCTCATTCATGGCCTCAACTCAGGTTTACAAACTCTTTGTATATATGGTGCCTGCTTGCATGGGTTTCAATCTTATGTGCAACCAACACATTTTTTTCGAACAGTTAAAGTTAGTAGGAGCCGTAATTTGACATAAAACCTTACAGGACAAATTTGGCATTAATTTCTATAATACTTTCTTACAAAAGCTATGTAGAATTCAACAAAGTAATACACCACCAAATATAATATTCAACCTCTATTATCAACACGAAGCGAATTTAGTGCTGATAAAGATATGAACAAAACTCCCTATCATAGCCCCATACATCTATGTTGCTATGTATATACATATATACTGTGTAATTATGCATTACCCACTTGTCCATAGATACTTTGTTACCATAATATTCTATTGATGTTGTTCAGGTGGATCTGATGGACATGAGTCCAAACATGGACGGCCAGTACCAGTGGTTGGGTCATTTCAGCGACCACTGGTCCTGTTTCCACGTCCTCTTCCCTCTCACTTCTGTCTCTGCCACTGAACTGGCTCTCAACCTCTGCCGGTATGTATGTATACATGTAGAAAATACAATGTGATGTACATGCAGGGTTTTTAAAAGGAGGGGCATATGATGTTTTGGTCCTTCCCTGAAGTAAGCCTTGAAATTTTTTTGCTTTTTACTTGTCACCCCTCTGGACATTTATGTAACTGCGTACGTGCGCAGTGTATGTCCGTACTTTTTTCCTCTTCTCTCTGTCTCATTTTCCTCCTCCTCCGTCTCCATTTCAATCTCTCCGTCCTCTCCAACCATGTGTTTGCAGTATGTCCGTACTGATTTATGTTCCTCCTCTTCCCTCTCCTTCTTCTGTCCCTTCTTTCCTCTTTTACCTCTTCTCCAGTCACGTATTTGCAGTGTTTGGATTCCCGCAAGTCCTCCACTGTAACCTGGGTCGTCAGTTCACGGCTCAGGTGGTCACGTCTCTCTCCCACCACTGGCAGGGCGACGTGGAGACACAGGTCATGACAACAAGACTCCATAACCCAGCCCTGGACACCGCCACCGCCAAACTTGAAGAACTGATAGCCGAATACTTGCCTCGGAGACCTCGCTGGACGCAGTGGCTCCCCTTTGTTCAATGTGAGAATTCATTTACAGAATATACTTTTGTTGAGTGAGAGTGAAAGGCACATTCATTTCGGTTTATGCAGTGAAACCTCAGAAAAGTTATATACCCTCTGTACAAAGGACACTTGGTTCTGTCTCATGTTGAAACATGGAACATGCGTGCGTGTATTCTCTTGATATTAACTCCGAAATAAGGACACTTTACAATGTCCCCAAAGGTGTCTCTCATTTCACTGGTCTCTTATTTTACAATCTTCATCTGCGTGGCACATCAGAGTGTCACATGAACAAAGATTGTTTCTCACACTCACCAAACATGCACTATTGTTCATAAATTGCTGGATTATTGAAATGTTGGATGATTTTGTTCCGTTGCAGACACCTTGAACACGGAGCCGACTTCTAAACAGGTCAAAACCGGCTTTTCAAAATCTCCGCTCAACATCTTGTTCCCTTGCCTGACCAGCTGGAAGACGGGGGAAGGGGAGGAGGAGGAGGAGGAGGAGGGAGAGGAAGAGGGAGAGAGTGAAGAGGGAGAGGAGGAGGAGGTGCAGCTGGAGATAATATCAGACTCAATTACTCAGGGGACTACCCCGGAAGTTTGGCAGATGAATGTGAACCCCATTCCTCCAGTCACCTCTGGTCCACCCACCAGCCAGTCTACCTCCACACCTGTACGCCTTCCAGGCCAGCAAATATTATAATTATATGAGCAGAGACAAATGGAAAGCATGTCCATTGCGTGCAATTTTTCCACAGGCCATAAAAAAAAAGTGTGGAGTTTCGCGAAACCTTCACACAACAGTTAAAAAGTTGTCAACTTTCAGGCCCCAGACATACAACCTGAAAAAGCATTTTGTTGGTATGAAATAGTTGTGTTGGTATGAAATACTTGTCCACCAATAGTGCTGAGTGACCGGGATTATGACTTTATGCAGAATGTGGTGTTGCCTTCGGCTGCCCCCTCTGAAGATGGAATGAAAGAGAAGGAAGAAGAGAGGAGAGGGGAGGGAGAAGGAGGAGGAGGAGGAGGAGCAGGAGGGGGAGAGGACACATCAGTACAGCAGATCCTCATGCCACCTGATGCAGACTTTCTCTCTACCTTCTATGAAGCAGCACAGGCGGGTCTAGAGTTTTATATAGTTATCAGCACCACTTAAAACCTATGTGATAGAAGCCCAACACAATAATACCTGACTGGCTGTATGTGAATATGTAGTTCTTTCCATGCATGCTTGTTTTTTAACCCCAACACACACATTTTGCAAGAGGCTTTTCCTTTTGCCTAGGGTTTACACTTTCAGTGATTTTCACGTCTCAAATATCAGACACTGCCTCTCCTTCCCCTCCCTTCCCCTATTACGTTACGTCATTCACAAACTCACTGCACTTGTTTCGGGAAGTTTAAGAGTTGTGCGGATGTGAAAGTGCACGCTATGCACACGATAAATAGACAGTGCACACGCACGTTTGTAGAAAATGTGTCGTGGATCATTTGCAGCTGACGGAGGGAAACTCAAGAAAGCGGAAGAGAAAACAGACTCCGGTTAGAGTCTTGTCAACTGCCACGCCCCCAGAGAAAGTGACAACATCATTGTCGTAACTGACCCTTATATACACCTATACCCCCAATTTGTTTTTTTGTACAGAATCATCTTTTTCACACAAAATTAAAAAAATATGTTTCTAGAATAGCAATTGAATGGAGTAAAAAACTAGAAAAAGCTCTAAATTGGGAAGGAGTCATTTCTTTTTCCCTCCCTTCTTCTTGGCCCCGCCCCCTCCACTCAAGCTGTACCCTCTGAAGGCTAGGAACTGGACTGGACCGTGAGCTATGTAGTACGCGTTGAGTCTAGCCGCAGGGCTGAACGGATCTGGAGCCACTGGCTCTGGGCCCCCCGATGATCCCTTGGCTTCCTTCTTCTTCCCCTTCCCTTTCTTCCCACCGCCTCCTCCTGCCTTCTTCTTCTGCAGATAATAAGATTGTACTACTATAACGTAGACTACGTTTGATTATAGGGCTAGAGGCTAAGTATTGCTGGCCAGATCAGCGATAGGCTCACAAGCCAAAATCCTCACGAGAGCACGGTCTGGCTTGCAAGACAAGGCTAGAGGCAATACTTACAGGTGGCATTTTTATTTAACGAGTTGGTCTGAATTCTGTCATCATCAAGCACTATCCAGTGTTTAGCTAGACGGATTTCGTCGCGCGAGCGATAATAATTATCTCGCTCGCTCAACACGTGATGTTTATTAGTAACCATGACAACAGTATTCATGCGCATGCGCACTTATATAATCCATCACTCCCCCGATTTTTCCTCCATCACTCTTATATACTCCCTCCTCACGCATGATACGGGCAGAGTGACACAGGATGGCTACATGGCTGAAAATTTGGTTGGCAGATAAATTTAACAAAACTCGTAATATTTATAAATTGACTTCAATTTTTATTGCATATGCACACAATGAAAGCACTCCTTGAAGTATAATATGGGTGATCAAAAACAATAAGAAGAAAGTAAGAGCTATGCATAATAACTGATGCAGAAAAGAATAAAGTGCTGTGTAATAACGCTAACAAAAACTTGCGAAATCAAGAAACTATGAGGTAATAATGTAAAAATTAGTCGGAGTCTGAGGAGGCGGAGTTTCCAAGGAGCTTCTTCCCAGCCGATGATGACAGGAGCTCCTCTTTCTCAGAGTCTGGAGGAAGACAGCTGTGCCTGTGGGGGGGGATGGGAGGAAAAGAAAGTAAAGTGCGTGAGAGGACTGTATACAGGTGAATTAGTTTTGCTGAATATGCAAGGAAGGCGCTATATAGGAGTTCTATTGACATGTTCGGCTCACACAAACAATAATACATATTTACATGCCACAGCAAGGTAGGATGAATGGCCACCAACTGTGGATACACACTACATACTTTCTTGGCTGTGAATTTGTTCGACGTGCATGGTGAGATCACAGAGCGCACGTTCAGAGTGTGTCCAGTAGACCGCTCTGGAGCACTTGTTCATTCTCTCATATATACTTCATTCACTGATACAGGTATAATTATCTCCTACTGGCTTACTCGTGAAGATACATTTCCACGTCCTCCTCTGTGAATTCATCTTTGAGTGTCTGAGTCACTCGCAGGAGATTCCCCACCAGGTGACCTCCTTGGTAGACCAGCATGGCTGGCAGTGCAGTCTCCAGCTAGGGAGGAGAGAGGGGTCTGTAATGTACGTTGATCGTATCATGAAGATGCCCAAGCAAGCTCACCGGGGCTGTATATTTAAATCCCGGAAAAAAGCACAAAAAGGGGAGAGAGGGGCAGAAAGAAGGAGAGCGTGTCACATCATTCGTAGTCTGAGCATTCCGATAGTAAACCCAATACCCAGCATACACATACCACATCTCAGTTATTTGAGGCATGCCGTGTGGAGTATCTGATACCACTGCCGGTAAACTGTATTAGCTACACACGCAGTGGCCAAGTTCCCAAGTTATGTAAGTAACGCCACCTTTCCTCTGCCAAGTGATTTCTCTAATGGTGTATATACTTGTAGTATGTGTCCAGCACAAAATCGACAAGAGATTGTGCAATTCTTGACTCACAAATTCGGAGCTCAAATGGCTGTTGAGTTGATGAGACTGCACCCGACAGAACTTCACCTAAAACACACCAGAGGGGAGGAGAGAGAGAGAGAGAAGAACTTACACAATTCAGTATTGACACCCAAAACACGGAAATGGGAGAGGTAGAGAGGGTGACCGGGATGATATACAGAAGAATGACCCTTACAGTGGTGTACTGCTTTGCAAGCCTAGTGAGGCACTTGTTGAGTAGTTGACACTCTCCAATCATCTGTAGGAGGAGAAATGGCCGACATGAGCATTATATCCTCCCATTCCACTGGCCTTCAATACTATAATGTTACACAACAAGGGCTATATATAATTCCACTACTGCCACTCAGACAGAACACACTGACTGAATATTACTATATAGGAAGATGTACTGTGGAGTAAATTCTGTGGGTGAGGGAAATGAGAGTGTTTGACGTTTTAGAGCAATTGAAACCTTCACCCACACTCCACTTTACTCCCCTCTCCTCCCCTCTCTTCTCTCTTCTTCTTCTCTTTCCCTCTTCCCTTCCCTACCCCTTTACTTCTCCCTCCCCTTATTCTCTCTCTCTCTCCTCCCCTCGCTCTTTCAATCTCGCCATCAACTGTTGAAAGTTATCTCATTCCCTCCCCAGTCTCCCCTTTCTCTCACTCCATAATCTGTATTCATATAATTATTGTCGGGGCTACCTCGTCATAGATGTGTATGACAATGAAGGTCTGAGGAGGTGCGGTCTCCACGACGTTATCAATCTTACTCCCTCTTATCTCTATCAGGTTACCAAACATCATTCTGAGAGGAGATAGAGGGTTAAGTTAACTCAGTGGGAGATGGAGGGTTAATTGAGTGAGAGGAGGAGAATAGTTAATCGAGTAGGAGGGAGAAAAGGGTTAATTAATTGAGTGAGAGGAGAAGAAGAGTAGGAGGGAGAAAAGGGTTAATTAATTGAGTAGGGTTAACTGCATGGGAGGGAGAGAGTTACACTGAGTGGAAGTAGAGGGTTAAAGTGTACCAACATTGGCCAGAGAAGGGAGAGGGTTTTAATTAAGGTTTTCAAACATCACAAACACAAATGCTGAGAATGGCGAGAAAGAGAGGGAAGATATCGTGTGACGGTACAGGCATCCCCCAAACATTACCTTATTCACCATGACAACGTTTTCACAGCGAGTCATTGAGTTTGAGCAACAGTCAAACTTGTAACACCCTGCGAGGCTACTTTTAGCAAATTTATATGTAAGGATGACTTTCCATTTCAGTATATATATTACACCTCACGTAAGCAGTAGGCCTATAAGCAAACAACATCATTAGCTCATGTGTATTATTATGGTAGTACTTAGTATATTATAGGGATGACACAGGTTGTCCTGCATTATGCCCATACATATAGGGATGACACAGGTTGTCCTGCATTATGCCCATACATTTGAGATTTTCATGTTTCACTTTTATATACACACAGTCATCTGAACGAGGCTGAAAGGCAAGGCTAGACATGACAACAACATGTACACCCCACCCGACCCCAGGACAACTCTCTCTTTCTCGTGTAGTGGGAACCTTCAAAACAACGACAACTTTTCTCATTTACACATGCCATACATTCACCGTGGGGACAGATTGAAAGGGAGAGGTCGTGAATTGGTCTATTGAGGTGTACAATCAACACCACGTGTGAATGGCCCCCCATACACCAACACTGAAAGATAACACACCACCAGAATATGGAAAGGAAGAGTCTGTGTACTCTACCCACTATCCTGTGTTAGTAATAATAATAATACTCAGGTGGCTGCCATAGCACTAGGGCCATTGTGATAGTAACATCTTTCAATATACAGACACTAAATATATGCGTTGAAGGTTCCTCCATAGCTGTGAATAATAACAACAACCCCTTCGCTGTCCCTCCCTCTCTCTCTCTCTCTCTCTAAAGGCCAAGGTATACACAACGTTGCATATGAGCGTTAATTATTATGGACCCCCAAAATAACAATAGCAACTTGCCCAACTTCCCAAAAATGGGAAAACAAATCGACGTTTAGATTATCGAAGGGCATTTTCACTAGTGATAAATGTCTTCATTTCCTACGAATAAGCGTTCTTAAAAAATCACGTGGATATCATCATACCTCTGAGAATTCCCCAGTTTAGCCTGGGCTTTCATCTCCTCCATCCGCCGTGCTCTGTATTGCTGGACAAACGGATCCTGATCCAGGGCTCCTTCCTCCAGGGCCTTTGCCAGGTTGAGGATGGCTCTGGAGTCTGTGGTGTTGGCTGCTTCTGTCTCTCGCTTCTCTCTGTCCTCTTCTGGCTGGTGTGTGTGTGCGTGCATATAGTATGGTGGGGGTGGATGAAGGGACCTTAAACACCCAGGTCTATATAAACTTGTGATTGCTGGAAATTTTGGGAGGATAGTATGTTGCAGTGATACACCCGAGCAGTTTCACCTCCCATGGTAAACTGTTGGGCAAACCAACCCCTTTCCTCACAGCATTTGTTTCCCAACATCTGTTTTATAAAATCCTCTCACGATAATCTGCACATGGATCTCCCTGTGAACACTAAGTAGTAGTACTTCGTATAATGGGGCATGGTACCTAGCATCATAGACGTATGGGGCTATGATAGGGAGTTTTGTAGTATAGACCTATAGCCCATAGTGCGCTATGGGTACCTTGCTCTTGACGGTGGCAGAGTGTTTCTGGATCAACTCTCGTCTCCTCTTCTCCTCCAACACCGCCTTCCTTCGGCTGTCCTGCTGCGTTCTGTAGAAGTCCGTCAGAACTCCCTTTGGCCCAGTCTAGACAGAGAGACGGACAGAGAGACAGGCAGAGAGAGACGGACAGAGAGAGAGAGACAGACAGACAGACAGAGACCAGATCGGCTATTTAACTAGTCCAAAACGCAGCTTATTCCCATACGCTAATGAAAAATTACAGCTACTAACTGCACAACGGAATTACATGACTTTGTAACAGATGACACACTTGCATTTGCCAAGAACATCACGCAATGTGGAACACTCCATGTCTTGAATGTGTGCATTGGTTCCACACAGCGTAGTTGTGTTATGGACTCCTCATTTATCCATCATGCTGGCATGCTTCTTCCTGGATTGAGTCCCAGTTTCCGAAATGCGAGCCATTGCAGGTGTCCCCGCCAACACTAAACCCACCATGCGGACACAGCAAGTATACATGGCAAAGAGATATTATACATAATACATAATACATAATGTATATACTTATAGACCTAGTATACATAGGTACGCTAATGGACTCTGATCCTACGTTATGTCTGTGTTTTTTGACCCGACCCTGACAGAATGAGGGTCTAGGGTGCTTACCGACTGTAGCACAACTAATTTGTCTTTGACAACTAAACCGTGCTCGTCTTCAAAAGGGGCTATCAAAGTCGTGACAAAATGTCTTGCTTATTGTTCCATGACATGCTCATAGTATATACACACATGTATATACACTCAATAAGCCAGGACTATGCAGGCCTATGAGTAACAGACAGGGGGGAGGGGGCATAGAAAGAAGGCAACAGCTAGAGGAGACTGTGTAATGACAGCCTGAAAAGATAGGGGTAAGTAAAAGCAGGAAAAAAGCTGCCTTGTCATGAAAACATTATGCAAACTCTCCTAGTAAAGGTTAATGCCCTGAATAAATCTATATACAGCCCTATGATAACATACATGTATGTATGTATAGAGCTTATGAATGAGTATAATCCTAAGATCATCAGGTAAATCACCTGACGGAGGGTGTCTATGTACCTATATATAACCATATCTACAGTAATAATATACATATTGTTGAGGAATGAGGAAAGAAAGAAGGCAAAAATGTTCGCACGTACTTCCCCATTTGAAAAACACGGCATACAGAGGGTGCTTTTACACAAATTGACGGCCATTTGCTGCTGAATTTGTGTGTATGTATCCTCAGTAAAGAGAGAGGGCTGTTAGTGTCCACGCAAAATGAGGGGGCATTCATTTTTGCCTTGGCTTAACAAGTCGTGCGTATATATAAAAACGGAAAGGTGTCTATAATAATATGGCAATAGTTGTTGTTACATCCTGAATGTAGAAACCGTCACGTACACACCTCCTATATATATACCACCCCTCTATTTCTCATAAACCCCTCTAAACAGGACACTGACGACCCAAATCAGGACAAGGCATGAGGCGTCCCGATTAATGAGGCGTGCAAGAGCTGATAAAAAAGTGAGCATCGCTGTAAAATGTCCACATAGCTTCCTTAATACCACACTAGGATCTATAGCTCTTCGATTTACAGCCACAACATATCATAATACATCTGAGAGTCACTCTACAATAGCTCTAGAAATTAGAAATTAGCACTAGAAATTTCTACTGAACACCACTCTCTCTGCTTTGCTAACCACAGCTACTGCTGGCCTCTGCCTATGCAGTAGACTCTCAATCAATCACACACACACACACACACACACACTGCAAGAAGCAAGCGCCACATTGCTTGCTAATTGCCCACACATATCACTGCTTTGCCCACTAACGAGTCACCCTTCTTTGGCAGGCCGTACACACCTTTGGCCAGTGCAACAAAAGTTAACTCATTTACGGGACTTTCGTACAGACTTTGCAAGCTTTTGTTCTTTGACTGGCGTTTGACCATAGTAATGTGTTTGAGTCACCTTCTGCACTGAAGGTTCTTGCTAGAAGTCACTGGAAGGTAGTAGTGAGTATCTTGTACATATATGGGACTGCCTCTATAAACGCGAAATCCACAGGGCAAACGTACAACTACAAAGCGTGTCTACACTGAGAGAACAACAAGCAACTGCCCAGATCGCGAGGAAATGAATGTTTAGCCTCGTTCGCTGCTAGACCGTCCGCAGCTGCTGCGCAAACACGGCCAGCTAGCTACTGGAGCTATAGATAGCACTCACTTGTGGGAGGCCGTCCTTGACTGGTTTGGGGACGGGCGGCGGGAGATCTCCGTCCACGTCCTCCTCCGAGCTGGAGACGTCGTTCTCCTCCTCGTGCCTGCTGGGCGCCAGCAACTGCGCCGTTCCCGTAGCCATGACCGACACGACCGCTACTCGCTCCTCCGGCAGAGTACAGCGTGCGAGCTTGGAGCGCTGAAAAAGCTTTAGATTCTACCCCAAAACTTCGGTGCTGTATGTAGCTATTAGTTAGCTCAGCTTCTTCTCTTTGAGCGTACCACTTTCACTGCTGACTGGGGACAAAATTGCTAAAGTGCTGCTGCTGCGAACGAGGCTGCGAAAATGATAGGTGCGCTCTAGTTGGAAATTTGACGTCATTAATTTCGCGATTAATTACGCCGGCCGGCCCCGCGCGCCGCCCCACCTAATTATAGTCAAGCGTGGGGGACACGCCCCTTTTGTGTGTGTGTGGTGGGCGTGGATCACTCGAAGGTTGGTTGATAAAAACATTGTTGTTATTCACCGGTGAGACTAAACGAGAAGCTATTGCTACAGTTGGACGTGCTGCTGCAAGAATGGACGTGGAAAAATGTACGCGGGACCTCCGCGAGACGGTGCGGGAGCTAGAGGCTGCGCTGGCCACTACGCGAGAGACAGTGCAGCAGCTGAAAGGTGCGCTCGAGTCCGGCGAGGATGAGATCGTCGGGCTCCGCCAGATGCTCACCAGAACCAAGAAAGAGAGGGACGAGTTGAGGGTGCAGAACGCGGAGCTGATCAACAGGCTGGCGGTCATTGGTCGCAAGCAAAGCACTTCTAGCTCGCCAAGGCAATCCAGGTAAGCTGCCCCATTAGCTACATACCGTCTTCACGGACCGCTATAGCTAGTTCGGAGGTAGAAGCGGATCCAGGGAAGCTAAGAGTGGAAGTGAGTCTTACTAGCTAGGGAACGATGCGAGCGGTTTTGAAGCTTTACCGAGTGACTTGTGATCTGGGGAACAGCGGGAATACAGGGAAGCTCTACTGTGAGATTTCCGAGTGTAGAGTTTCAGATTTGTCCCTGTCTGCGATTTTGTGCCTATAGTGTTGCACCCCCCCTCTCATGTCTGTCAAGTATGGAATGTGTGAGAGCTGCAAGATGTAGCTGAAAGTAATGGCTGCCAGCTGGAACCCCTTCATAGCTAATTACCGATAAGTGTCTACTCATGCTTGCACTGTGAGTGTGTTGTGCAGTAACCTTGGTCACTTTGCATTCAAGCACAGCAAACTGTCTTCCACTCACCCAACACACACACACACAGCAGACACGTGCATCTGACGTGCTGCAAGCACTGACAGCTATACAAACACGCTCGTGTATGTAGTTACTTGTCCTCTGATACACGCAGGAAAGAAGTGGTGTCTGCGGCCTTGTCTTGTAGAGTCTTGTGCGCGGCTTGTTATTTCTGTACATCGACTTGTACCAGCCCATGTAAACTTGTACCGAGGAATGTAATTTCGTGAGAGGAATGCGCCCGAGACACACAGCTCGGTGTTAGGAGTGATTGAATGCATTCAAAGGTCAAAGTCACTGCATGGTTGTCATGCATGCCGCAAACTCCCATGTAATGGCGGTGTCTACCTTGGGGATTTCCTTCACGCTTCAATTATTGTCATTTCAATGGTAATTTTTGTAATAGCATCCCCTCTTGAGAGCAACAGGGAAATAAATTTCCTACTCTGTATAGAACATAATTATAACTCAGTCTAACAGTAATCCTCCAAGCAATTTGTGTTAGTGTGTAATGTGGCATTAAATTAACAATGCTTGACTCAACACTAGCAGTTTTGTACTGTAGTGGTTAAATTGAGGTGAGAATTGTATTAGTCGAGACTTCAGTTTGTCGCCACACATATTAATTGTATTTGCGGGAAAAACTGCATCAGAGCGGATTCGTTATCACCGTTCTAATAAAACATGTTGGTTCAGCTTTATAAGTTTAAGAACAATTCCATTGTTAAGGGACGCCATATTCAACAACGTCTTAATAGATGGCCAAATAGCTAGAGCCATAAAAGAGAACACCCCTGCAATTAATCTGCCATGTTTAGCGATAATTAGGTTAGTGATTGCAATCATTCTTTGAGAATGCTGGGGCCTTTTCCTATAACTCGTGTAGCTATATCCGTCCCCAAACAGTTTTGACTAAGATATCCTGTTATATTCTTGAACATGAACAAGTAATCATCTGAGTCTAGTTAGTGTGGGATAGGAGCCAATATCTTATAGTACTCTCTCTATAGCAGTTCTATAGCTACACATCTGTTGATATTAGTAGGAGCCAACCTCTGAATGCCTGCACACATAGCTACTAATACGTGCCTCTCATTTACCTGCTGTATATAGAACTCCATAGAAATCAATATCTGAATGAACTCCCAGATAAAATGGCCACTGTCCCAGTCAATGGCAGACATGACTAGCTACTTGAGAGCACCATAGTCTCTCACACGTCCTCCTGCCATAGTCCGCACATGTTCAAGTGTATTAGTCCCATACTGTGTTCCGTGTTCAGTGCATTGACACCTGGTGTATAGCTCAGTGGGTAGAGCACACTGCCTAGAGAGCAGAGTTCCGTGGGCTCGAGTCCCACCCAGGGCAGCTCTTTTTCCAGTGTTGTCCTGGGTGTAGTTGAACCACACTTGCCTTGCTATGATTCGTATACTGTACTAGCCACGACTGAGAAATCGTAGGGCTTATGTATGTATGTATGCGATGTTCTTGAGAGTATTCAGGCACAGTGTTTCCTGTGTGCACAAGACCATGGGAGGGCAATGTGGATGTGATCCACAGACACATTGACATACAATAGAGAAGGGATGACCAGAGCTTAGCAGAGATCAAAGATGTGTTCCTTGTACTTATGTACATAGAGCACAATATAGTGCATGACTGGCCGTGTACAATAGAGTAGGGAGACAGAGCTTCAGAGCTGTGTTATAAGAGCAGAGAATGGTGCCTCAACTGGCCATATACGGACCACATACATAGAGCACAGTATAGTGCATGACTGGCCGTGTACAATAGAGTAGGGAGACAGAGCTTCAGAGCTGTGTTATAAGAGCAGAGAATGGTGCCTCAACTGGCCATATACGGACCACATACATAGAGCACAGTATAGTGCATGACTGGCCGTGTACAATAGAGTAGGGAGACAGAGCTTCAGAGCTGTGTTATAAGAGCAGAGAATGGTGCCTCAACTGGCCATATACGGACCACATGCGTAGAGCACAGTATAGTGCATGACTGGCCGTGTACAATAGAGTAGGGAGACAGAGCTTCAGAGCTGTGTTATAAGAGCAGAGAATGGTGCCTCAACTGGCCATATACGGACCACATACATAGAGCACAGTATAGTGCATGACTGGCCGTGTACAATAGGGTAGGGAGATAGAGCTTCAGAGCTGTGTTATAAGAGCAGAGAATGGTGCCTCAACTGGCCATATACGGACCACATACATAGAGCACAGTATAGTGCATGACTGGCCGTGTACAATAGGGTAGGGAGACAGAGCTTCAGAGATGTGTTATAAGAGCAGAGAATGGTGCCTCAACTGGCCATATACGGACCACATACATAGAGCACAGTATAGTGCATGACTGGCCGTGTACAATAGAGTAGGGAGATAGAGCTTCAGAGCTGTGTTATAAGAGCAGAGAATGGTGCCTCAACTGGCCATATATGGACCACATACATAGAGCACAGTATAGTGCATGACTGGCCGTGTACAATAGAGTAGGGAGATAGAGCTTCAGAGCTGTGTTATAAGAGCAGAGAATGGTGCCTCAACTGGCCATATACGGACCACATACATAGAGCACAGTATAGTGCATGACTGGCCGTGTACAATAGAGTAGGGAGACAGAGCTTCAGAGCTGTGTTATAAGAGCAGAGAATGGTGCCTCAACTGGCCATATACGGACCACATGCGTAGAGCACAGTATAGTGCATGACTGGCCGTGTACAATAGGGTAGGGAGACAGAGCTTCAGAGCTGTGTTATAAGAGCAGAGAATGGTGCCTCAACTGGCCATATACGGACCACATGCGTAGAGCACAATATAGTGCATGACTGGCCGTGTACAATAGGGTAGGGAGACAGAGCTTCAGAGCTGTGTTATAAGAGCAGAGAATGGTGCCTCAACTGGCCATATACGGACCACATACATAGAGAGCACAATGGTGAATTGTGTGTGTTGAGAGATCCTAGAGCTGAGATATGGTTGAAGAGATTCAGTGGACAAAATAAAGCCCATGAAATCACATTTGATTATAGCCATATTGCATGTCCTTCAATGCCGCTTTACTTGCATACTACGCATAGAAACGAAGGAAGAGAAAGAAGTGTGAGAAGGGCTGCTGGGGCTTCACGTGTATAATAACCAGTCTATTCTACGGCGGCGAACAGAATGTGAGCGTGTGAGGGTGTGTGACTATGTACACTAAATGCGAAACCTTCCTTCGTGTTCTAATGCATCCTCACAATGCTCTTTCCCACATGCATGAGCTAAGATCCATTCTTGTAATATGACACTTAGAGTACCGTATAGTTTTTAGCACACACACTCACAAGTGTATACAGTATTTAGATGTGAGCCTTACTTAAACCACTGGCAGTATTATAATAAACTTTCAGCATTGTCAAGTCGCTATAGGGAGTTAATAAATACACACTCACAAGACATTATGCAATCTGACGCAACACAAGGCTAGTTTTTGTGTAGCTGTAGTTTTGGTCGCTGGGCCTGAGCCCGAAAGAAGGTCGGTTGTGTATGTTCATCTGCTTGTGTGAGCTATTAAACTCCTAATGGGACTAGAAGGAAATGCATTCTGTGCCTCACACACAGCAGAAATCACGACTTGCCGACTCTATTCATAGTGAGTAGAAATGTCCGCCCGACTATGAATTTAGTTGGCTACAATCACGGCATGCGCCGAATTTATGGAATAAGTGTTGGATTTTGTAGAGATTGCGCAATCTGCACTACGTGACGTGTCAGCATACTATGACTCAGTATCGTAAATGTATGTACCTTTGTACACTGCATTTCAGATTGTCACTCTCTCTCTCTTGCTGTATTTCCTGTTTTTGTTTTCTCTGCACAGCGCATGTACGTCTCTCGATGAAGGAAATCAACATTCACTTGTGTCATGCCTCTTTTCCTTTATGATTCCCCCCGTAATATGATACTAGTATGTCATGACGTGTACGTGATTGACCACACAATGTGCTGAGTTCAGTTGGTTCAGCGCTCGCCTAGACTGCAGAGTGCCGTGGGTTCGAATCCCACCCAGGACAGCTCTTTTTTTTTCCCTTGGAAAGTACGAGCTGTCCTGGGTGTAGTTTATTTGTTTGTTGTGCCTTTGCCTTTCTACACACATGCATAAGTAGCTTGTGGCCAGCTTTATATTGGCATGTGTCATAACTGAGGTAGAAAGACAAGGCAAAGCAAACAAGTCAACTACGTACATAAATGATCCATAGCTTTGCTCCCCGCTCCCCCTTAAAGCAGCGACCAATTTGGTGCATACACGTGTACCCATGTAACAATAGTCCATGTATGCCATGTACATGTGCATATACCAACAACGAGGTCTAGCAAGGCAAAGGCAAAGCAAACAAGTCACCTGGTATGAATGCACCAAAAGATGGCGAAGGCTGTTTGTGTTAATGAGACTGGTATACTTCTCCAGCTCAATTCTCCACCACATGACGTGATGTTTTACTTCCGTCCTCGTCTTCCTCATTCTGTTAACAAACAACCACCATGTACTGTACCTTCACTATTACAGCTACCTCATAGCTAACCTTACGTTGTTTTGTTCACAGAAAGATTTCCTATGCCTGTACATGTAGCCTACGGGGAATATTTCATACTCCCATTCCAATTACTTGGTACTGGAACGAAAATGGTATTATGTCTCACTCCCATGTTAGTCGTAAGTGGTATGGGACTAGCCCCGGCGTGCGTTAGGTGTGAAATGTTTAGCTTGTTTTGAAACAGACAGACAGAGCCACGGATGCACTCGCGGTATGTCTTCAACACACAGGCTGTACACAGGCGGTGTATAGCTATATATAAGCTGCTGTTGTAGCCTTGCGATGCTCATTTTTAGTTGCGAGAGACAGTCGTGGTGGTGTGCTAGATCTCTACTTGTTATGAAGGAGATGTTATGAAGAAGAAGTATCTAATATAGCTGGTTTTGAGTGGCTGAACAAAGTATAGAGAGATCTCAAACGACGTATCTCTTGTGGAAGACTTGTGTTAACTGTATTTAAGAGAGGCGAGTTCATTGTATCGTATGCAGTACAATACTTTTTTGATCTGTAGTGTGTGTATACGAGTGTCAGTTTTACAGAGCCGTTGTATGCACTACTTTGATGTGGATAGTTGTATTGTAGCAGCAGTGTGTAGCAGTAGATACTCGTTGTATGAAGTTCGTTGTATTAAGTGGGTCGGTATTGCCATTTACACATCATATAATATAATATACTTCATCTGTGACTGCATGATACGCATGCAACTGAAAGGTACGTAGTTTAAGAGTGATTCTCGAGGTGTTATTGTGATAGTATTATGTGCCTGTCTGTCAGTGAGTAAATCAAGCAGCCATGGAGTAGTGATTCCCATGGGTATAATACATACACTGCTAACCCATCAGCAGTGTATACCACCTCCCTTCCTTGTCCGTCCATCCCATGGGCATACATACATACATACACTGCTTACCCATCAGCAGTGTATACCACCTCCCTTCCTTGTCCGTCCATCCATTCGTCCATGTATAGACAGACACACATCCAATAGTACGACGATCATGAGTTGTTTTGAATACAGAGTGTAAATATTGTTTCGTTGGACGAGCGGCGGAGATTATTCACAACTTGTTGTGTCCTCGGAGCACTTATCTCTCATGCGTCGCATAGCGAGTGACATGTAGAGCATGGATGAATGTGCTATATACAGCTATATATGCACAGTGTACCAGCAAGTAAAGTAAAGTTTAAGACTCCAGTATGTAACCAACTATGAATTTTGTGTACCCAGTAACTTTTAGATTTCCAAGAATTGTGAGTGAATAAGCGGGTGTGTGCCTCACTAATGAATGATGTAACTGGGAGTTTCTCCAATTTGTTGCAAAAGGATTTCCTGACATTCTTGGGTGATTTACACAACTTGGGCCTTTTTGGCTTGGCTTTGAGGCAAAGAGAGGGGGAAGGGAGAGAGGGGGCAAAGGTCGAGTTCAGTGGTGTTTTCCAAGATGGGTTGTCAGGAATTCAGTTGAATATCGAAAATGGTTTCTGTTTGTGGTCTGCAAAATTCCAAGTATGCAAGGTTGACAAACCATGCTGTAAAATCTCCCTCGTTGTTGTTCGGTGTGTAAGAGTTCGCTCATTTGAAATTGAAAATTGAAAGTGTTAAATTCTCGTGTGGTGTAGTATGTGTGAATCGATGAAATGCAATTGCTACACACTATAACCTGTTTGTACGGTATGCTAATTGCCGGCTCCACCCATTGTTCTGGGATGGCTGCCACTTGAGGATTACTATAATGTCATGGTGTTCTAATTAAAAGTGTATTCAAAATTTCTTACCCAAACTTACAGATCAACTCCGCCACCAGAATCTCCATCTACCCAGTCCCCAGTTATCCAGCGGCGAAACTCGAAAATCGGTTCCCCCCTACCTGCCCTCCCACCCCCTCCCCCTGCCGACTCCTCGCAGCCCCCCGTGACAGACCCTGTCATTGCCGCGGCGACCGACGAGGGTAGCGACACGGACTATTCCGACATGGAGGGGGACGAAGCCACGGAGAAAAGGACAGAGGGTCGCGTGAGACGCTCGAAATCTCCAAAGTCTCAGACAAAAGGCGATCCTAGCTCGCAGCAGAAGTTTAGTCGACCGAAACGAATTGCTCGCAGCTCTCCCAACACAACTACTACTGCGGAATCTTCCGGAACTACTGCGAAACTCACGAGCCCAAAGAAAAGCGTAGCTTTCCAAAACCTGTTGAGTATTTCGGAGGAAGAAGGAGGAGCTTCTCCTGAACAAGCGCGCATGAGTGCGTCAGTGCAAGTGACGACTGAGGGGAAGGAGAGAATTCCGCCAGACAGTGGGGCCCCCGTGTTTGGGGGTGTGGGGGGCAACGAGGGGGCCGAGGAGACAAGCCAGCCACGTAGAAGGGTCACAATGTCGTGGAGTAACATCAAGATAAAGCGTCCGAGTCAAGAACTGCCGTCAGAGGTCGCCCCCGAGATAGTTACGGGGGGGCAACCGACAGTGTATGACCACCTGGAGATGAGGCGGTCTCGTACCAGCACCATCTCTTCCTCGTGCGGCGGTTCGTACAAGAAAGAGTACAAGAGGAAGAACAGCAAGCAGCTGAAGGAGGCAGCAGCCAAATTGGAACGCTCGCCGGATTTCATCTCTGGCGGGAGAAAGTTGCACCGTTTGGAGCTGTTCTCGCCCGATATGGAGCTGCGAATCCGCGAGAAAATTTGCAGCGAGATCGGGAAGAAATACTGTGGTCTCACGTGCGCAAACAAGTCGGCGATTGTGATCCAGAGTGCCTACCGACAGTATAAGCTGAGAGAACAATACAACAAGATCAGGAAGGAGGCGAGCGAGGTTCGTCAGCGTGCTCAGTCGATGAAAGACCCGCGACGAAGGCCGAGCATGATCCGTAAGAAGCGTCCGGGGAGGTACAATCGCAATCTCTCGGCCCTCGCTCCCTCCACGGACCCTCTTCTGAAGACGAAACTTCTCTCGCAGGACATTGCGAGGGCCGGAGTCCCGCACACGCACACATCGTCACGGCGACAGCTGGTGGAGAAGACCCGCAGCGTGCAGAGTCTGAGTGATGGGAGACAGTCAGCTGAACCTGCCTCCTCCCCTACCCAGGAAACTGACGATGGAGCTGTGAGTCGGGTCCTTGTTTGAGGTGTCCTGATTAGAAAGGTGTCCTGATCAGTGAGGTATCCTGATTAGAAAGGTGTCCTGGTCAGTGAGGTGTCCTGATTAGTGAGGTGTCCTGATTAAAAAGGTGTCCTGGTCAGTGAGGTGTCCTGATTAGAAAGGTGTCCTGGTCAATGAGGTGTCCTGATCAGTAAGGTGTCTTGATTAGGGAGGTGTCCTGATCAGTGAGGTGTCCTGTCAGTGAGATGTCCTGATCAGTGAAGTGTCCTGATCAGTGAGGTGTCTTGATTAGAAAGGTGTCCTGATTAGAAAGGTATCCTGATCAGTGGGTGTCCTGATCGGTGAAGTGTCCTGATCAGTGAGGTGTCTTGATTAGAAAGGTGTCCTGATCAGTGGGTGTCCTGATCGGTGATGTGTCCTGATCAGTGAGGTGTCTTGATTAGAGAAGTGTCTCGATAAGTTTAAGAGGTTTCGTGAATTTTGCATTGAAAGTGACTTGAAAGTGTTTGTGCATGCCTTGTATGGGTATATACACAGCCTTGCTGTACGTAGCATGAGTAACAGTAGTACATATTACGTAATGTCTTTTAGTCACGCAGCCCCATGTTTGTGCCGCTTCTACCTTTGAGATATTTGCTGCCTCTGCCACCATTTGTACTGATACATGCCTCTCTCATTCGCTCCGTGCCAACCCTATGCTTTGGCCCTGATTCAGCAGTGTACAGAACAGTACAGAATAATGTATGGATACATGTGCAGTGAAAGGGCTGCCTGTAGATCAAGGCTTGCACAATTATCGCGGCATTCTTCGGCTGACCTGATCGCATTCTTTAGCTAGGTCCCGATCACCGGATTCCTTTTACCCCACCTTTACATGTGGGCACAGTAGCTACCGCTGCTGATTAGGGCGATAATTGCTAGGGGGGTGACCCACATGACACAAACACCCATAGCAATGCTGGCTATATACAAGCTTGCAGAATGTCTGCCAGGTGTGAGATTCACCACAAGTGTAATATATTGACTGACACAAAGTGCTAGTGTCAGTAACCCTTGTCGAACAAAGGCATTCAGCACGCTTTGTACCCACGTCAGTTTGTGCAATAGCTGTGTGTGTGTTGCTGGTACTAGTTAAGTCATTGCATGAGTTCACTTTGTCAGTTAGTACACAGCTACAGCACTCCTGGTGCTTGCTCAGTTGCTTAGTTGTCAGTCCTCCGAGTGTTGTGGTAGAATAGCCATTAGTGAGTGCAGCAGAATTGTTCAGACGATAGAAGAGGAAAGTTTGTGTGTGCATGGCTGTGTTTAGCATAGCCAAGGGGCTCGATTCTTACCTCAAGAAGTTGAAGGTTGGTGTGTGGATTTTATCAGCCATGAGTTTATTGTATGTGATAGTAGCTCTGGAAAGGATTGCTGATTAAGGGAGGGTATATTTGCCAGAAAGCAATAGACTGACATGAGAGCATGCTGTGAGAGCTATATCTCTCACTTTAGTGTGTGTTAGTGTAACATACTATAGTTTAGCTGCAGTTCAACTTGCTCAAGTGTATGTGTGCACATCATCAGTACGCTTGTGGGGGATTTGTGTCTAATGTTTAAAACCCTTTCGATGCATTGGGGATCTGCAGAAATTGATATATAAAGTATTAGTGCCTAGTATTATAACCACTATATAAATTCTTATGGACTTATGGAGGCTCTGGACACATTTATGTGTCCGTGGCTGGGTTTAAAAATAAGGGGCAAGGAAAGCAGTAAAAGGAGTTACAGCCTCTCTCTCTCTGTCTGTCTGTCTGTCTGTCTGTCTGTCTCAGGTGGAGATGGAATTTGCAGTATGTGAAATAAAATTAGAAGACGAGGCCACACCCACTGTATGTCCTGACGTAGCTGCCGATGGTGCTACCACCGTTGAATCAACTGGTGAGTTGACCTTTGTGTGACCTTTGTGTGTGTCGTATCGTTAACCCCTTAGCCCCTCACACAGTCCCAGCCAATGTATATGTATAGACACATGGGAGTCATAGCTATGACATCATATCATCATAGACATTACGATCATAGCATTGTGTAAATGTTTTAGAGTCCTAGCTATGGGGGTATGTATATAGCATAGCATAGCATCTGTTGCCTTTCAATTGAGAGCGTATATGTAGGAAGTTTAAATGTGGCAGTATAATATAAGGGCTAAATTTAGAAATGTAACTAAAAACGGAACTCAATTGTATTCCTTCACTGTGCCCCTATTGATCTTTGACTTTCACCTATTGTTTTGTTTGTTTTGTATGTTAAATGCCCCTATTTTACTGCATAGGCGAATATCTGAAAGAGTCGTTCTTTGTTTGTGCTACGTCTCCCCCTCTCTCCCCCTCCCTCCTCCCTCTCCTCTCCCTCTCCCTCCCCTCCTCCCTCTTCTCTCCCCCTCCTCCCTCTTCTCTCCCCCTCCTCCCTCCCTCCCCCTCCTCCCTCTTCTCTCACAGATTTCCTGAGTCTCCCGACATCATTCTCAACAGACGTCCTCCTCACCTCCGCCGGGTACACGAGGCCCGTCAGCATCTTCTCGGCCGCACGGCCGTCGTCCAGCATCGAGACGACGTCCCTCGGACAGCAACGGATGAGCCGCGGGGACGACGAAGACGTCACGATGTCGTTGTCACGGAGATCACTCTCTCCAGAAGTCAGGGACAGGAAGATTAATATGGGCATCGGACACTTTAATAGGTCGGTTAATAGTCAATTAAATTTCTTACGATTTTTAAGCTGATAGATAATAAGCAATTTTGTCAACTTAGTCCATTTAGTTTCTTGAGATTTTTCCTCAATCAGGGTATATAAAGTTTCAAATTTAGCACCCATAGCACATTGCATGTTACTGCACATATATACATAAACTGTTATTGTCTCTCTTCTGCTGCTAAAGCTGTATAGACCCTGTTCTGTGTCATACTATACATAATATCTGGATAATTGTGCTTGGTTGGTCACTTGTGCCCAAGCAGGTTCTACAAAATTTAATTTTGACAATATTCGACCACCACAATTGTTAAAAATTGCAAATTCAATTCGTCAATTTCATGTTAAATTCGTTGCTCTCTTGGCATATGTTAGCACGAGTTGTTTGTCTTGGAACCCTAGCTATACCTCTGGTGTCAACAGCCTATGTACATACCATACCTCTATGGAGGCTAATGTGCTGTGTTCAAAATGACTTGCTGTCGTATTTATCTCATTGTGTCGGGAGTAAAGGTCCTCTATTGGTGCCAGGGTCAATAGTGTCAATAGGGTCCATGTCATATCACTGCCCTAATGTGCTGCATACAAGCCCCTCTGTTTGCTACAGTATAATGTATGTGAAAACTACGAGGTAGAAAGGCAAAGGCACAAACAACAAATCAACTACACCCGGGACAGCTCTTTTTTCCAAGGTGTTTCGTCGGCTCAAATTCCACAGCGTCTAATGTAGTTTTTAGCTAACTGTGGAAAAAAAGAGAGCTATGAAAAAATGCCTTTATGTGTAATTGACTGTGAATGGTTTAGAAAGGGCACTTGAGGAAGAAAAAAGGTTCTTGGGGAGTGTGTGACTGACTGTGAATAGATAGAACAAAGAGGGAGTTGGACTGTATAGCAGTGTAAAAGGTGAAATGACTGTCAAAAGTGTATGAGACAGAACAACTGTAGAGGTGTAGTGTAGTTCACATGGAGGTGTGTTGACCTGAGAGAGGCACAGTGTGAGTGTCAGTTCAAAGCCACGTGAAGGGGAGTGCCGCTATGAGCTGACTGTGGAAAGGGTGTTACATCATTTGGTTGAGTCTGCACTAAGTCCCCCTGTCAACACAGCCACATAGGTTGTCATACCTTGCCACCTGTGCAATACCTCCATAACTGCAACCCTGTAGCTCACTCCCTTGCTTCGTAAACATCACACAGTAAAGTGCCAACTTCCCATATATACCTCTTTCACTGTGTGCATAAGGACTTTACCTCCATGTCAAATGCAGTTTATTTGGATAAAGCCAGTTTTGAATAACTTTTAATCCCCCAGAGGGTATCTTTGGGAGGTGAATTTAAAACACACACGCACTCTGCTTTTATTGACGAAATTTAATAATTTGATCTTCCAATTTCCCCAGGGGTTATGCAAATTAGAGGACTAATTAAGGCACACCAACTGTGGTTGCAACGGTACTACTATAGCCATAATCAGACCATCGTTTGTACGAACTTAGGATGGTGTATCTCGTAATTTCCCGAGGGGCTAAGGTTTGAGAGTTGAAATATGGAACTTACAAACTCATTTGGTTATAACTGCCATAGTGACACGGGTCACGGGGTTCGTTTGTAAGGACACACAGCGCCAGCTCAATTCTCTAATCAGATATACAGTTACCTTATTTGAAGAGATGGTGACTTAATTTCCCCCCCAATCGATGATGATGATGGGTGGTCTGATAACACGTAGAAAGCCCCTGAAGTATACACAAACCCTCGGTGCATTGTGACCAGTAAGTACACGCATGCTTGAGAGTTGTTAACAGTAATAGTTTGAAGATGTGACTCAAAGGGTTTGCGTCAAAAACGAACGAAGGGTTTTCATTGATACCTCGGTTTCATTTTCAGAAACGTAGCCGAACATTATATCAACACAGGTCTTCCACCTTCTAAGAACTTCAGACAACTATGTATTTCCTGGTAGTGTGTCAGCTCAGCTGTAGTGTGGAGTATTTCCTTGCAGCAGTAGTCACAATGCCGGGAGTGTGTGGAGGTCCTAGCTTCACTGCCACTGAGATCACTACAAACTATCCACAGCTGTATATTATATACTGTACTAGATCTCAGTAAACATACTCCCACTCAGACTAGCCCATAATAGTCCAGAATATATACTCCTTCCTTTGACTTATATTCATTCATTAGCAGCAGTCACAATGCCAGAGTGTATGGAGGTCCTTTCACTACTATCCACAGCTGTACTTTACTACATCAGCAATTTTGTCAGTAGCAGCTAACAGCATATGTATGTACTCCCACTCAGACAGCCCACAATAGTCTAGGGACACACATGATAAGGTTTTATAGTCTCATTAGCAGTGTGCAAATGAGGCAGTTTACGAGAATTGCATAAACCATGAAAATCAGAAATTAGAACCAGTACCTGGGGTCGCTTTGTTATTCCCTTTCTCCCCTCCTTCCTCCTCCCCTCCTTCCTCCTCCCCTCCTTCCTCCCTCACAGGAAACCGACACGAGGCATCCAGTACCTGGTGAGAGAGAACGTCTTGCCAGACAGTCCGCAGAAAGTGGCGACATTTCTCGCCAGTCAGTACGGTCTCAGTAAAGAGAAGATTGGAGAATTTGTGGGGGAGATCAGTTCAGAGTTCCACATGGCAGTTCTCGAGTGAGTCTCTCTCTCTGTTATTCTGATGCCATATAAAACTTTGAGGCAAAACCTAAAATTTTTGCAGAGAAACTTATACGACCTCAAAAATTTGCTGCTATACCGTAGTGTAATAAAACATTCTGATGGCAGCATTTTTTGCAAAGTGTTAATCTATGATCTATGCTCTTTCAGTAAGCATCTTAATTTATGGATAGATACAATAATCACGCAATTTGCATTAGTTTTGAAGTGGATTTTAGCAGCACCCTCTCTTGTGTCTCTGTTTGTTTTGTCGTCAGATGTCTGTTGGAGCAGATGGCCATGAAGATCAAACCGATCGACGAGGCTCTCAGAGATTTCCAGATCCTCTTCAGAATGCCCGTGAGTCTGAGAAAGAGGAAGGGAGGGAGTGGAAGAGGCTTTGCACGTGTGTGTGTGTGTGTGTGCGTGCGTGTCTAACAAATCTCATCTCCTACTTTCCTCTGTCCCCACATTACAGGGAGAAGCTCAGAAAATAGACAAGATCATGCAGGTATGTCCGCCTCCTGACCTTTTCCTTCATATTTAGCATACTTTGATTTAAACAGAGTAATTAATGTACCCCCATCAAATTAGTCATGCTCATAATAATACATATGTAGTCTCATAGGCTTATGTGGATTTACTTATCGCCCGCTATGTTACTTTAAATCTTTATCCTTTTTGAGCCCATGGAGATATTATATATAATAGGGAAGCTCTCCTCTCTCTCTCTCTCTCTCTCTCTCTCTCTCTCTCTCTTCCAGATGTTTGCACTGGAGTATTTCAGGTTTAACAAGGAGGGGGTGATAAAGTCAGAGGACGCTGCCTACATCCTGTCCTTTGCCATAATGATGCTTCACACGTCTCTACACAACCCCTCGGTCAAGAGCAGAACCACCAAGAAACAGTGGGTGTCCATGAACAGAGGTGAGGGGAGGGAGGAGAGGGAGGAGGGAGGAGAGGGAGGAGAGAGAGAGGAGAGGGAGGAGAGGGAGGAGAGGGAGGAGGGAGGAGAGAGAGGAGAGAGAGGGGAGGGAGGAGGGAGGAGGGAGGAGAGAGAGGAGAGGGAGGAGGGAGGAGAAGCAAGGGGTGGGGAAATTGTCCCCTTTTCTGAGTGAGCCTGAATCATTCGCAACATTAATAGCTCGGGGGACATCATTTTTTCTAAGTTCGCACATCAGCTTCCTGAAATGAACAGCCTCCGTCTGAGTGGTGTTTTCTGCTATTGAAAAAAGAGATAAGTAATGTACATAATGCTATTCACAGGGTGTAATGATGGAGAGAACTTTCCGGAACAGTTGCTTTTGGAGATCTACGACAGAATCGGCAAAGTAAGCAAAATAGCCTCTCACAATACCACTGCTCAGGACCATTATGTAACTAGTGTGCTCTACGCATATTACCTGGTGTCCTATTACAATTATAATGTTCTGTGTTTATAAACAGAGAGGTTCACTACTGGTCAGGACCATTATGTAACTAGTGTGCTCTACGCATATTACCTGTCAGGACATTATGTAACTAGTGTGCTCTACGCATATTACATGTCAGGACATTATTAACAGTGTGCTCTACGCATTACTGTCAGGACCATTATGTAACTAGTGTGCTCTACGCATATTACCTGTCAGGACATTATGTAACTAGTGTGCTCTACGCATATTACCTGTCAGGACATTATGTAACTAGTGTGCTCTACGCATATTACCTGTCAGGACCATTATGTAACTAGTGTGCTCTACGCATATTAGCTGTCAGGACATTATGTAACTAGTGTGCTCTACGCATATTACCTGTCAGGACATTATGTAACTAGTGTGCTCTACGTATTATTACCTGGTGTCCTATTTGTGTATATATACAGAGAGAGTTCACTACTGGTCAGGACCATACCACTGTGGTCAGCGACATTGAAAGGAACCTTATTGGATACCAGAACACCTCAGTAAGTATTATGATATAATAATTGGCGAGCGGGAACGAGCTAACCTGTATATAAGTGGTCTGAACGGCACAATTTATCTATGGCATTGTAACTTTAACCACAGCATTATGTAGTACATCACAATGAGATTGTTTTGGCAGAATTTTTATTCGTTAGAAAAGCACCCAATCCAACAATATGTTCATTTTCCTTGTATTCATATGAGATCCAACCTAATTACTCAACCACATCGTCTCTCTATCAGAGATTGGCAATACCCCAGCGGAGGCTAATCTGTCGGGCGGTTGTCACGGAGATAGACCAGCTGACGTCGCGACCGAGCTTCAAAAACAAACGACGTCGTCTCGTCTTTGTGTTCAGCGATCAGGTCATCATCTGCAAGAAACGTGGCGGGGACCAATTGGACTACAGGGGCTCCTTTTCGCTCATGGACGCCATTGCCATCAGTTTCGAGACCCACCGTAAGTCTTTGATCTTTGACAACATACGAATTATGGTACAACCTCTGACAAAGTATATCCTCCAAATAAAGGACACCTACCTGTAGAAAAGGAGACTTGTTTTTGCACCACACGTAAAATGTTACTTCCAAACAAGGGCCTCAAAAGTGTCCCTTATTCAGAAGTGTGCTTGGGCCGGGCTAGGCACGGCGCGACGGGGCAATGCGACATAATATCGTGAACCTAGCCTTACATACCTACCTACATGGTCTTCTGAATGGGCCCTAAGGCCCCCACTGTGTTAGGACGCTACTGTCAAGATGTCGTGACACGCTGGCAGTCGGAAGCTTATCAGCGCTACATCCGCACAGCCAGAGAAAGTCTGGCTGCTGTTTCGAGACACCTGGCCAATTGACTAGTTGCTGTTTTTGTGTGCCAGTGCGCAGCGAGGGTTACAGCACTCGGTGGTCGTGAACCGAAACTGTTTACGCAGTTTGGTGAGGCTAGAACAACAATTGGCTGTGGAATCTGTCGGTGGGTTTTGGTGGAAAAACAGCAACTTTACTGTTTCTTCTGACTCATCCTTTTCAACATCCTTGACTTGTTGTGTTTGTGTACCACCTGAAAATCCTTCACTCTCTCACTCTACAAAACCCACACACACGACAGACTACAAAAACGGGATTCAGATCTATTCCTCCCACGATGCCAAGGCAATCTTCCAGTGTAACTGCGACACTGGTGATGAGAGGGTTAAACTACTCGGGACTCTCGAAGCCACCATCTCTGAAGTAAGTACACACATAACACCATATTATTATCATCAGACTGTGTTTTTTTGAAACCCACATTACTTATTGCACCTTTCTGCACACTTTACAATGCGAGGCACAGTTTAACTGGTAAATAAGTTGCCTAGTTAAAAAAACTCACTTTTACACCCAACTTGCTGTTTGCCACAATGTTAATACTGAAACTCCAAAGAAGGCGATTTCTTCCCTGAATGAACCTCCTTGTGCGTTGTCCGTAGCTACGAGATATGGAGAAAGAGAGGATGGCCGAGCTGGGCAAGTCTCAGGACGTGGTCCCTGACAGACGACACAGGATGGCCAGTCGGGCAGGGGACCTCATGTCGTCTGCCCAGCTTGAGAAACCTCTGGCCAGTGCAAGGAGACAGAGGGAGAACAAAGGAGACTATGGTGAGATTCCACTCTTCTGCTGCTAAGTATATATATACAGTGTACCATTACACCCTAGTCAAACAGGAAAAGCCTAGGAAATGAGTATAATTATAAGGACACCTTTTCTTTCCCCAAAAACAGTTCTTGCATGCAATTTAACCCCTGAAATAAAGACACCTCGCTAATATGGACACACATGCTCTATTGGACAAGTGAAACAAGCCAAGCTTACCTAGTCTTATCTCTAAACTTCTCTTTGTAATTTGCTCCTTTCATTCTGCATTCTCTCCCTCCTCAGTGCAAGGAGTGGGTGATCTGGTCATCTCATCCTCCAGCAAAATCATCAGAAGAACCAGCCGGTCCTCCGGATCCACCAGTGTAAGACATTACATCACCATTACATCATTCATTACATCATTCATTATGTCATACACTAGACACCGCCACACATGAGGGAACACACTTGCAAAACAACTTGCAACTCTTCATGTGTCAATGGTATAATAGTCATAAATCCACACATGTGATCGATTTCCTCATTACTTAATCATGACATCATTTGTTATTATGTAATAATTACATCACTGTTTTTCTCCACCCCCAGCAGCCTGAAAACCGGACGTCCGGCGGATCCCACGAGTCAGGGTATGACTCCCAACGCACTACTCCGGTCCCCTCCCCCTCCCCCACCAATCCACCCCACTCCACCCCGCATTACTCCGCTTCCTCAGTCGCACACCCCACCCCTTCACCCTCCGTCAAACGGCAGCTGCAACCCCGCATTTCCACGGCTTCCGCACCCATGACCCTAACGACCCCCGGATCCCCCGTGACAAGGTCGAAAAGTACGGATCAGATAAACCTCGTAAGAGTCTTAACAATAACACCATCGCTAAAGAGGGACGCGAGAGGAAAATTTTCAAGTGCCGAGGACGTTCGCGGTTCGCCGAAGAGTAGCCGCCACAGTGCATCGAACTCGCCTCGCCTCACCAAGAAAAAGAAGGAGCGCACAAAGACGACATCCGGGGAGAGAAAGAAACTGAACTTCTCGCCGTTTCGTCGTTCGAATAAGAGCAACAACGATCGACGAGGGAGTAGCCCTGTGCCGGGGATAGGCGGGAGTCCGGTTGTGTTGACTCGGTCGCGAGCGGTCTCCGAAACTCCTCCTCCCCCGAGTGACCTCGAACTCAGCACTAGATCTGTAGGTCGTGCAGCCTCCACATACGTTGTCAACACCACTACTTAGATATGTATATTATATCAGACCAGAGCACTATGTGTGTATGCTTTCTTTCTCTCTTAAAATGCCTCCCTCTATTATGACGTCTATATAAATATTTGTTTGTTTGTTTGATTGTATCTGTGTTATAACAACATTATGTAGCAGCTGATTCTAGCCCCTCCCCCCGATTGCAGTTGTGCGCATGCCCAGGTTTGTAAACAATAGTAGGCGTGGCTGAGGTCAAAGTTAATTAATTGCTAATGGAAAGGTGCTACAGTGAAGAAGACTTTTACAAACTCCTGAGGTGCGACGAGACCTCGACGGCCGAGCAAATCTCGGCGGAATTCAAAGTCTTGGCGAGGGAGCACCATCCGGACAAGGTCGCCGATCCGGACATGAAAGATGGGGCAGAGAAGCGGTTCGTGCTGCTCAAGAGAGCGCGGGACGTGCTACTGGACAGAGAAACGAGGCGACAGTACGACCAGTGGAGGAGAGGGTTTCGTGACTGGATCAGTTTCCGTGACTGGCAGAAGATGCAGGGCAGAGTGCACACCTCGATTCACTGGGGTGGGGGCGCGCGCCGTGTGGCGTCACTAGAGCCGCACGGCGGAGAAGAAGAGAGGGAAGGAGGAGGGGGAAGTGGTGAGGGGGTTGAGAGGGGAGAGAGTGGAGGAGGGAGAGAGCAACCATGTGAAGCGCTGCGACAGTTCAGGAGGAGTGGAGGAGGAGGAAAAAGAGTCAGCAAGTTCAGAAACTATCAACTTTGACACGTCATCATTTTTTATCCTCAGCCAATTTCTATTCATCAGTCGCACAAGATTTCGTGGGTTCAGAACCAACTCTTGTAAAATGTAAGCTTCAATGCATTATTACCAGCCATGCAAAAATTGGCTCAATATTCCACTTCCAAACATGAACAAGACACAAAATGAAAGACGGGACAATGAATGATGCACTCTGTTCAACCACGAAAAGATGAAGCTGTATATATGTTCTTTCTTGGGTGGACATTAGAGAGGGATAAGGGATAGAGGAGAGAGAGGGGTTGTAGACTAGCTAGCTCTTGGTTTGATGTATTCCACACATTTGAGGGGACAGTGCTGTACTTTCTCTGGCAGAATGTCATCAGTCGCTTCACTCCCTTTGTGTTGGTGTGTGTGTGTGCATTTAAAAGACAATACATGAACAAAATGCGGTAGCTCAACTATGCTGCCTACTATTGGAAATACATTTCTTCGGTCAGGAACAATAATATTAACTCTCCCTTTTATACAGCAGACAGCACACAACTGAAAACGCCCAAAAGTTGGGCACACTTTCTGCACACTATGGAGGACAATAGTAATGCAGCAGAGTGCTTGGGTAGAACAACACATCCTCACTATTATTATATACACAGCACTGTTATAGTACATACTTATATTCGCTTCCTCCTATACATAGTATACCTGAATATATTTCCTCTGAGTCTCATCGTTGAGTACGTGGGCAATCTGCTGGGAGAAGATCTTCTCCCTCCCCGTCCGGGCGTGGATACCCACCATAGTCACACCGATGGGCCACGGGGCGTTCCCAATGGCCATCTGGAGGTAGATGCCGTTGGCCTTCACGTATTCCCTCTCCAGGATGTTCCCACAAATGTCTGCCAGGAATGACAGGATGTCTGCTGCTATGGACTGAATGAGGGGAGACAATCTATGTGTACTTCATTGCTACGTTCTGTTCAACGGGGAATGTGGTTGTATACGTAATGGCTAATGTTACACAAGCAGTAGGGCCCCAGTGAATTGATTTCAGTTTTTGTAGCAGTTTCTAAATTTAGTGCTTATACTGCCACATTAAGGTATGTACATACATAGAGGTGCATGGATTTGATGTTGTTACCTTCTTCCTGAGCTTCTTGAAGAGTGGCTGCAGATAAGTCTCAGTCTGTTTGAATGTGGCACTGTCCAACTTACCCTGATGACAGTAAAACAGAAACTATACTATACAGACTTGGAACACTGACGCAAACTAATTGTGGTTGGGAATTACAAAATACCTCTACAAGAAGGAGTAAAGGGGAGTGGAAATAAACAGACGTACTGTATACCTGGTAGCTGCGTTTCTCGGTCATGGGTCTGGCATTTAGTTCGGCTGCCCACTCCTTTAGCATGAACTGGAGGAAACAACAAGACACGTGTATTGGGAGAAGGGGCAGGGGGGAGAGGGAGGACACAAGGAGAAGGAGGGGAAAGAGGGAAGGGGGGGGGGGGGACCAACTATGAAGGTCTTGAGGCAGAGTTCTTGTCTCTGGGCATCAGTTGGAGAGCTGCCAAACCCAGACCAGACTTTCTGGAGGACAGGAGATGAGAGATTACAGTGAAACCGACACATCATGAGAACCAGACTCAAGGGAATGTGGCAGTATAAAAGAGATAACTGTTACTAACTTACTTGCATAGTTTCAGGGCCCTATTCTTTAGTAAAACATTTACCCCTTATTTACTGCCACAAGGGAAGAAGGAGAAGAGCCAAAGGGGAAGGGGAGGGGAAGAGAGAGGGTGGGCAAATGTCAGGGGAGTATGAAAGTACAAGGGCGCGAGATGACGAGGGAGGGCAGGGGAAGTGAATGAGACACACACAGACAGTTAGACAGACAGTTAGACAGACAGAAATGCAGCCTAACATCTGCACACAAATACAATTCCACTACATTTTCATTCCTTCACATTCCAAACCAACCGCCTGTGAACCTTTGACCACACCCTTCAATCATAGCCAAATGCACACTTTAGTTCACGGAGGTAAACCCAACACCTATATTAACTGCGACAGCTAATCAGATGCGGGGGGGGATTTACCATGATGTCATCGAGAGTAGTTCCGTCATCTCTGACTCGTAGTTCAGCTCCTTCTGCTCCATCATCTCCCTGCAGTGTGGACAATTACAGAGTGTTTATACTAGTTTTACTGCCATTACTGCTTTATATATTGTGAGTAGAATAAGGGTGGAAGAGAGAGTGCAGTGAAAAGAAGAGAGAGGTAGGGGATGAAGGAAGGAGGCAAGAATGGAGCTATACTTTTAGAGAGAGAGAGAGAGAGAGAGACAGACAAGGGAGACTGTCTCTACCTGTTGCATGGCTATCTCTGTGAGGTATTCCTGGTCCACTTTATCCATAGCATCTTTCAGGTCATTCCTCAGACCCTATACGCCGCCACACAGAACAGACACAATAGTAGGTATGTCTTATCAACAGACCCTAAATTATGCATACACATTGCTCAAATCTTTACTAGTACATTTCGTATTAGTTAAAGCATCAGAGATCTTGTCCTGCTACCTTCTCTTGTCAGCAGACCATAGATTGCACAATGTACCCACACATCCAGAGATTATGGGCACATTAAATAAACATTTGCAAGCTTATCTCTTCAGCCTTTTGCATTCCGGGTACATACTGTAGCAATGCAATTTTTGGTGAGTGAGCACAATCAAGTGTTTTGAGTATGGACCTTTGAACTGCTCCACATGTGCCGGTGAATGAACATTGTCCACTGTTGAACACGACACACACACGACTGTATACAACATACATAGGCGGACTTGTTTTTCTCAAATAACAAAACTTCTTTCAAACTATGAGCGAGAAAATTGATTTTTTGTTTATCCAATTTATTTTCTTCCTCGACAGTTCCCCACACACATGGGTGCATTAGCACTCATTCAAACAGCTCCATCATAATCCTCAAGCATTACATCACATCTGTGCCAACATTATGTGGCACTCGGCCCAGGCAATAACTAGCCTTACCCAGGCAAGTAGGAGTTGAGTTAAGGTGTTAGGTACAGGCTGAGGCACTGTGATTGGGTGTGCCATTTGGATCACTGTATAAACAGTTGTAACACTGTGCGCGGTAGCTGTTGAGGCCGGTGAATGAATACGCCACGAAACACGCTACTCCCACCAACAACCACGCTCTAGGGGACGTGTTATGGCTACACACTGCTCCCCACACTCATTCACTGCTACTCTGCACCCAATAAAATGACTCCGATTTACTATAAATTATAGCACAAACTGTAAAGTTTCAAACACATTAGCTCTATTGTACAGCAGTAGAAAACTGTGTGTTTTGCTGTGTCATGATCCATTCTTGGGGTACAGTATGTGTACGAATCATTGTGTATGGAATATCGTGTGTGCGTGTGATGTGTCCTTACTTTGTTCACTTCAGGAGCCAAAATCTCTATTTGCCTGCAAATAGTAAAAAGAGAGAGACAGTATAGATCGTCTGTAACTACATTCTGTATGTACGTAGGCACATCGAAACAAATGGATGGGTACAAAATTATTTACACAGCACATGATGCACAATACACAAAATTCAGAGACTAGCTACATACATACATAAAGTATGCCTTTAGTGTATACCTGAGTCTAAGACACACTGTCTTTGTCCGTCTCACCAAACAATCTGATTGGCCCTCCTCTTTCGCGGAGCCTTCGAATCACCTGGTGAGAGGTGAGAGAGGGAGGGAGAAATGAGAAACGAGGGACGAAGGCAGTAAGGAGTAAAGGGGAAAAAGTGTACTGTACCAACTGTGCAACTACAAACACTCGAGAAAATCCACATACAAACAAATACAAATATGTCTGGGTAAATAAACGTTTAACTGTTTGCATACTTTAGGTAATTTTTTCTCCTGGGGTACATGAGGTTAGTTTGTGTGCTATAAGATTTACACTGTGGTTTATGTAGCTATGTCATAAAGATGCTTCTTCTGTGCACCACATGTCACCAGTGGTCTCAGGCACACGTAAAACTGTGTCATATGTACACGTCTGTATGTCACACACCTGTGGTCTGCTATAGTGTTAGGCAGCCAATGTGTCTAGCCACGCAAGACAAGAAACACATGTTCTAGAATGTTCTGAGAGAGGATGGGCGATAGTATCGCACGTCTTAATCTACAAGGTTGGGTGTAACAAAGACGGCTGCTACATTTTCAACGTGACTAGACAACAACACATTGTTAGATACATCATTATGTTTTTAGGTGTTTGGTAGGAAAATGTGTGCTTTTCAAGCAATCATTATCATCCACAAATTGTGAGTTCCTTAAAAAGCTTCCTGTTATCGAGGCTAACTCCATACACATAAAATACAAAGGCAGACTGTCGCAAGACACCCTCCTCCTCTCTCTCTCACCCTCACCTCGGCTCTCGGGATGGCAAAGATGGGGTTATCATCCCCCGGAGTGGCCGGAGTTGGGGTAGTCGGACTCACCACTACCCCACTCCCCTCCCCCAACTCCTCTCTGATCTCCTTACTCCCCCCTCCCCTCTCCTCTCCCCCATCTGCAGCGCCTCAAGGTCCCCTCTTTTCATGTACTTCTTGCCCTAGCGAAAATTGAGGTGCGCACTAATTGGAGATGGTAAACAATAACTTTTTACAAGATTGTATATACCTTTGATGCCGCCGCCTCCTGAATGACTTTCCTTTTTCTGTTAGCCTCTTCTTTCAATAGCTTCAGTGCGTCCATTCTCTCGTTTGGGGAGCAAGAACGTAGTAACCACCCAGATATTCGACTCGCGTAGCGTAAGTGAGGGGTGTGGCTACACCCGCGCTAAAATTTAAGCGCCCACATGCGCAGTCTTCAGATTGCTCGCAGCCGCGCATCTAGCGCGTTGCTCTGGTATAAAAAAGGCCGGGAAAGGCGTCTGATCCGTGAATCTCTTGTGAGAAACATGACGGTCAAAAGTGGAGGGAGCTACTTACTCTGCAGCGGGAGCTACGGGATGCGAGGTGGGCACCTCCGGACAGAAAATCCGGATAGACCCCGTCGTCGGCGATCGCAGCGAGGCCGCCGACGAAACAGTCGCCTTCACAGCCATCAAGAAACTCAAGGCTCGCAGTGTGAAGCTGATGGCCGCAGGACGCTCGAAAAAGAAAACAAAAACGCTCCGCAGGCCGTCCGAAGTCGCAGCGTCGCGGCCGCCGCGACGACAAGTCCATTTTCGGATTCCCGAGCGATCGACAGCAGCGCCGGCACCGAGCGAAGAGGAGAGCAGTTTGGACTTTTCCAGGTCCAATCCATTTCGCAGATCTTCAAAGTTCCGCCAACCGCTCAGGAGGGTGAGTCGGGCCAAAGGGTCCCCGCCCCCCGTACACTTCGCCAGGATTCGCCCAATTCCGGAGCATCCCGGTCGCGAGGGAAGGTTGGCGCAGCCCAACTTCGATCAAACGTGGGACGGAGAGAGCGAGGAGAGAAAAGGAGGAGGGGGAGGACAAGGAACAAGATGAGGAACTGCCTCCGATACTGTTGCAGAGTCTACTACGTAACTTTTCCGAAACCGGAGCGTCAGATGGAGGGAGTACGAGTAGCAGTGACGAAGAAGAAACGTATACGACCTCCCCGCGACCACCGTAGCAGCGTCTTCTTCTCGTGACAGTTCCTCAGAAGGCGGAGAGAAAGAAGGGGAGGAACGACATGAACTTGCAGACCCACCACTCGCGAGACGCGCGAGCGTTGCGAATGCGAGAACGCTCATTCGACGGAGGAGCTCGTACCGGGCTAGTATGCGTAGGGGCAGTCGAAGGAGACCGAGCTCGTGCGCAAGACGGGGAAGCCTCGCCAGGAGACGACGAAGCAGCGTTGTAATCCAGACCGCACGAAGGAAAAGTACGGCCTTACCCACTAGTTACGTGGTTCGTCGCCGTTCCTCAACGGTCCGTCGTCCGTACGATTCCAGTCCGTCACAGCAACGCGTAAAACGCCGGAAGCAGCGTCATCGTCCGCGACGCAGGAGACCGCGTAAGATAGTTGTCGTAGGGGATATGTGCAGCGGGAAAACGAGCCTCATATCTGCATACTGTCGAGATAAATTCTCCGAGGTCTATGTGCCAACCATCCTCACCTCTTGCATGACCGACGCAGACATCCTCGGAGAGAAAATCGAGCTCGTTGTCGTCGAAGTGGCAGGGCGAAACGACTTTTGCCCAATTCCGAAACTGTGCCTACCACAGAATGGACCTGGCCATACTGTGCTACTCCGCCGACAGCCCGGCGAGCCTGAAAGCCATAAAAGATCACTGGGTCCCCGAGCTACTTCAGGCAGTTCCTAGAGTTCCATACATTCTCGTTGGAACCAAAAAAGACATACGAGACGAGCAAGTGTGTAAAGTCGAACTCTCGCATCGGTCACGTGTGAATCTTGCCAAGAACTCTTCTTTCACCGGCTCTCAACAAGAAGCAAGAGAGAAATTAATCGCGGCAAGTCAACTCGAAGCGAGAGAGGAATTCATCACTACAAGTCAGGGTCTAGAAGCAGCCGAGGCAATAGGAGCCAAGGACTTCATAGAGTGCTCCGCAATGTACCGCGACGGAACAAGAGAGGTGTTCGAAACGGCGGCAAAACTGGCACTTCGCCGCTCTCCGCGTAGGAAAAAGAAGCACTACAGGCGATCAGCAGACACGTGCACCATTCTCTAGCTCGCCACCCCACTAGACTTTCTGTTTCATTTTCATTCAGTCACTTGTTCAGAGAAAGCATCTTAGCTTCTATAAAACACCTTCACTTTCCACCCATTACATTTCACACTGGAATTTTGTGTACATAGCATTTGTGTGTATGTGTGTGTGTGTGCTATTTTTCGTTGCTGGTTTTTCTTTCCAATTCATCACCACACCCTAGCTGTATTCAAATGAAAGTTTCTGAAAAAAAATCAACTGCCCACGTTTTGAAAAATGGAAAAAAACTAAATTTTTTTACAAGTACACAAAACTGGCGTGAGATTAAATTATTACTTGGACTACTGATTGGCCATAGTCATGGTGATAAAGTCTGAGAATTGATCTAGAACTTCTTTGAGAGTAGTTCTGACTTCTGACGAGTTGCACGTGACGCACTGGACGAGGGCTGGGTAGAGATGAGCCACCTGCCTCCAGACACCTCTGTCCACTTTGGACGGGGAGGGGGAGAGGGGAGGGGGGAGGGAAGGAAGAGAGAAGCAAAATAGAAAGGAGGGAGCAGCAGAAAAATGATGATAAAAGGGAAAGGAGGAATAAAACAACACTCCACTTAATACTGTAATGCAACATGTATACAAACTGCTTGAAAAGCATACTTGTGTGTCCTTAGGCAAATTCTCAGCCCATAAAACAACCTTCCACATTAATGAAACAAGGAAGTTTCCGAGAAATGACAAGCTAAGGAAACTAAGAAGAATGTACTAGGGACATACCTCTATTGGCGTGTTCCTTCTGGGCATCCTTCAGTGATGATATGAGGATGGAGACTGATTTCAGTACCAAGGACACCTCGTTCATTCTCGACCTGGGCAGACAATTGTTGGGGAGGAAGAGTAGGAAGGGACAGGTCTTACATACCACATACAGACACATGCACGCACACACACACACACACACACACACACACACACAGTGCACAGTAACTACCAGCCTCCCTCCATTCTGAAATAAATTTACCATGCATACAGACGAACACTATCTTCGTGAAGACAATCAATCAATGCTTGTAGTACGACGCAAGTTCACAATCTCTTGCGCGTGCGTTGTTGTGCATTGTAAATCCACAAAACTGCGGTATTGTTTTCAGAACACTATCTCCCACGTGGTGGTGACAGAATAGCGGCAACGAAAACCAGACAGACATATTACACAGAGCAAGCATTGTAGCCTGACTATGCATTGTGTGCTAAGATCTATAGGCAGGCAAACAGGCCACTACGTACCACTGCACCATCACGGAACACGTGAGAACTTTTCAGTACATAATCGTTGGACTGATGTTTTTCTGTGCAACATTGCAATCCCATTATCCATTCAATATACTGGTCGTAAGTGCCTCAGATAAACATGTCTCAAGAGGGCCAGAAGAACTAAAATATTTGATATCAAAGTTCTTTGGCAGGAGGAAATGAATATATAGTTTTGTCTATGCTCCATAAACATACTTTAGACAAAATTGAACCAAGTGTCTATTGTGGAGAAGTCTCTCTCCTTTATTAGGGGGTTCTTAATACTGCAGTCAAAAGTAGCAAGGGGTGAGGGGGAGGGGGAATTGGTGTTCCATTCAGTAGCACCTTAACTCAGCAGCCCCGAGTGACTGGCAGAGCCAATGCAAGCTCCATTATAGTTCAGTGCAATTAAAGAGCAATAAGCCCACAATAAAACTGTGGGACGGGACACCAAGATTTGGTCCCTCTAGTGCCAACTTTGGGACCGGCCAGACAGGGTTAACGACTGGCCGTTAACGATGCAACACACCCATATTATGTCCTTGTCAATCCCTTGTCAAACACTACCACTTGATGCTAATCAAATTTGGTTATCATTTTTACAGTAATTCTGTTAGAGTTCCAAACAAGGGGCATCCTCCTTTGACAGGTGCTAATTAGTGAGACAGCTCAGCTGTGCACTCAGTCGTCTACCTCACGGCTGTGGAGGAGAGATTGCTGTGTCAAAGGTACCACTTACGGGACGTCGACCACTCTTTGTCTTAATGAGGCAGCTCAGCACTATCACTTGGCACAGGGGGAACAATTGTATCTACCAGCATTGATGGGCAGAAGGTCGGTCCACTCGACTGGGCAAGGGTCGCAATAAGTTTGTGACGTGTGGAACTACACTTTTTCCCTGACATTTTACAATTTGTGCAAAACCTGAAATGTCATGATGAAAATTATATTTCACATAAGCTCTCTCTTACACAATCTCAGCAGAAGCTCATGATGGCTGAAGTCACCACCCACCATCTTACAACTGATAATATACATTTGTCCAATGTTGTACTAGTCTTGAGAATTCCTCAAGCTAATGCGTTCAATTGACAGGCACCCCCAGTCTATATACACATTGTCCACAGGATTCCATGCATTCCAACGGATCACCAGCCCCAAGCCATAGCAAACACACACACACCCGCAGACAGTGAGAGGGAAGAAGGAGGGAGGGAGGGAGGGAGGGAGGTAGGATCCCATTTCCAAACATTCTCCCCACATTAAGTCACACTAGGTATGCTAAGAATGCGGAACCTTTTCCAGCTAGCCAGAGGCATCGTCTGTCATTTATTCATCTGTATCGCCATGCCAACACCCCCATCGTCTAGCAACACTCCCAGTCCACTGGTAAAATGGACCAATAAGGAAGTCAACTAGATCGCAGTAAACAATCGGTATCCAGGCAACCCAAGACTCTAACACAATTGTCTTGGCTACAGGGAGAGACTAGACGTCTGTAAGTACATATCTATGCAGTCTGGTTCGTGCAGTCAGCATAGTTGCATTGTGACGCACTGCCAAATGTGAGAGAGTGTACACTGTGGCCACAGTGTGTCTTGTGTGACAGTATCAGTAAATGAATATCATGGAACATAAAGGAACAGTATATACAGCTACACATAATTGTGGTTGTTTGCCAAGGAAAGAGAGGAAGGAACGGAGGAAGGAACGGAGGAAGTTCAAAGCATTTGAGTAGGAAATGTACGTGACAAAAACAAGGAAGTAGAGAGAGGGAGAGGGGGAAGAGGGAGAGAGGAGAAAGGAAGATCTTATCATGGGAGAGGAGAGGGAGAGAAGAGGTATAGGGAGAGAGAGAGAGGGGGAAGAGGGAGAAGAGGGCGAGAGAAAAAAGAGGTCTTACCGAGGGAGAGGAGAGGGAGAGAAGAGGCATAGGGAGAGAGAGAGAGGAGAAAGAGAGGTCTTACCGAGGGAGAGGGCAGGCCCCACTGAGGTGCTCGTCGGCCACAAACTTTGTCAGAACTCCTTCGCATCTCTCTAGTAGGGCACTGAGAGCTAACTGGGAGGTGGAGGATCCTGCAGGAGAGAGGGAGAAGAGAGAGAGAGCTAAATACTAGCGGAATGCCACGCATTTTTGACCGAGAGATTAATTCTGAGTCGCTGACCGACAGAGTCCTGACTGTGAATGAAGGAGAACTGCAGCAGAGCTTCGAAACAAACTCTTGCAAAATTCTCCCTGAACGGACCTGTAGCAACACCTACAGAATAAGCACACATATAATTAGTAAAATGTGGAGGGACCATCGACTAAAGGTCATGCATGCACCATTAATCAATACTAAGACAAGAGTCGGATCTCCAAAAAAAAACATGCCAAATTAGACTGGGAAATGGGCCTTTTAGAGAGGTGCCCTTTACACAACACTAGAGTGTTGGCAACAGTTCAGAACAAGTGTCCCTTATTCAGGTTGCCTGCACTGTATTTGCATATCAAAAGTTATGTATATACAGTGAAACCACTTAATATTATTATCTCACGAAATGTTACAATTTGTAGGTACCGTCAGTGGCAGAATGTATTGATCCTCTGTTGAGAACTGCAGTTAGTCTGCGGAGGAAACTGGGTGGGGCTTTCTGGGACAATGGCAGGAGGTCTTTTCTTAGCAGATCTATCAGCTGAGGAGAAGGAGAAAGAGGAGGAGAAGGAGGAGGAGAAGGAGGAGGAGAAGGGGGGAGTGAGAAGAGTTAAACTAAGGACTCCAGTAGGAGGACAGGGAAATGTCTTGCTCGTATGAAGTGTCCCCTAGCAGTGGGAAAAGATTAACCTGTGCCCTCAAAAAATTTTTCTAGTTCCACTTCGTCTAAAAATAAAAAGAAGAAAATTTGGAATTCTTACCTTCATATCAAGGTTTTCGCAATCTCTAAGCTTCTCTCCAGTCATCTCCTTACCTTCTGGACTGCACGTGAATAGATAATTTTACAGTGGACACAATCACAACAAAAACCAGCAGGAAAAATGTTGTGGGATGTTAGAGTGGAACTCTCTCGTTTTGCTTGTCTTGATACTCTACTTGGAACACTATCAAAAACGTTCACTTTTGAAGATGCTCTGAAATTCTGAAACTATTTTCCCTCAAAAGTCTGTGTAATTTGAGCACACACATTGTGCCAACTGACATTGGGATGAAGAGAAATTCCTCAAGTGTGGTAGCCAGTAGTGCCCAGAACCCCTCATTGGCTCCCGGACCTACACAACGACATCATAATTACATCATCCCAATGCCGCCATTCACTGCACATCATTGTCCCAATGATGTCATCATTACATCATCCACAAAAACTTGCCTTGGACAAAAGCAACACACAAGTCAAACGTATGCAGAGAGGCACTCAACGTTGTTTGTGAAAAGGGGCAGCGATAAAAGAGTGCACCACCAGAGAGAGAGGAAAAGAGGAGGGGGGGAAGAGAAGGGAGGACGAGAAGGAGGAAGGAAAGAGCGGGTAAAGCAAGAGAGAGAGAGAGAGGAGGAGACCTTGTTGGAGAAGTAGAGGGAGGGAAGTCTGGAGCACCACTAGAAGAGAGGACACAGTTCTTGTCCACACTTGAGGAGCCACCGACAGAGAGTGCTTCAGTTTCAGTGCTGGCAACAGGGACTGGAGGGAGGAGGGAGGAGAGAGTTAGCAATCAGCATGTTCATAGGAAGAGGCGTCAAAAAATGCAGCAGGCCCTTTAACCCTTAGCAATTAAGCCATGGGCATATCCCCAGATCCTCCATAAGTGCATAAGAATTTATATATGGGCGCTATAATACTAGGCGTTAATATGTTATACATCAATTTCTGCTTATTTAAGTAGATACATATTGCGTTAATACATACATGTACCGTGGAACCAATGGTGCCCATAATAGTGAGATATTCTTTATTTCGGAGGCATGCACTTCATGGGTTAACAAGACAGTGTGGGTTCTCATTTCAGGGGTGTCAGGTTGAACTGTAAAATGCATCCACAAGAACATACACGGCAATCTCCCAGAATGCAGCACACCTTCAAAAAGAGCTCGGGGACCTCAGATGGAAGACTGACTCCCGCGAGCACACAGGACCGGTATAGCTGCACCGCCAGAGCCTGGGCTGCGAGACCAAACGGTGCGTAGTTGACGCCCATGAACGGCAGAGAGGCTGGTGGTGCTCCTCTACTGTTCCTGATGAAAATGGGGGGCTCCGCGGCAAGGAGGGAGAATTTAAGAAGTTCTGTGACGGCGAGCGGGTAGAACGAAACCCGAGGTTTGTCCGTCGCTACGGGCAACACCCGGTGAACGTCGACCACGTGGGGCTTCTTAACAAGTAGGGATTTCACCTCTGGTGCACCATCTCCCGAGGCCGGATCGTCGAAAACGTCAGTCTTGGAGAACACGGCACCGACGCAGCGAAGGACGAGCTCGTGTAGCGAGCTCATCACGTTTTCGCTGGCCGAGGGGACCAGAAATGGAGACACGTCTTTCGAAATGGGCATGGGGAGGGCTGCATGTAACACGCCAGTCAGCAGTGCAAAGTCCTTGGTAGTGAAATCTCCCTTCATGTGGTCGTGAATGTGGAGGAAAATTTTGAGAAGGTTCACGAGAAATTTCTGCGATGGTATGCTGAGGAAAAACCGGTCGACTCTCTCCATGTTGAGAGGGGTCTTCAGAATGGAATGGAGACCCTCCAGTGCCGGGAGGCGCCGGGCCACGCAGTCGGTCCCGATTCCATTCCAAGTGTCCCAGGCTTGTTTCCAGACGTGGCGTTTCAATTTCGGCGGGAGGGAGACTGGGTGTGGCCTCACTAGTACCACGCCCTCTCCACCGCCACTCCCGTTGTTGTCTTGTTGTTGTTGTTGAGAAGTTTCAGTTTTGGTTTCAATTGTCTCTGTGTTTACGATGCTCAGGAAACTGTTTGTTGCTGCCACTGACACCTACAGGAAAAGGGAAATCATTATCTCGTGCATTCTCCCAAAATTACAGCGAAAATCAGCGAGGGAGGAGTCGTAATTTTTTTACCATTTCAGTACAATTTTGTGGGTGAGGGTCTATTTTAATCTGTAAACTTTTTTTCTCGCCAGAGCATTGTCGTATCACGAAAGCTGCCACTCAATACACATTGTGTGTGTGTCCCATCTGACAATGGGGCGACCCATTGCAGGATTGCGCACCTCGACACTGGTGCTGCTGGCGCAGAGTTTAATGGTGGAGAGCAGAGTGGTCCATGTCTTGGAGAAGTTTGGTAGAGACACCAGTTTGTCCCAGCGAGACTGGAACAACCTTGCTGTACAGTTTGGAGGGAGTGACATACATATGAGGAAATATATTAAAAGTAGTTGTTGCTAAAATTAATGATAATCTCAGATTCGCAGGTTGTTTAGAAGAGTGAGAAGTTTGTTGTGTTTAAAGAGTTTCCTGCCCCTTGCCAGTCACTTCAAAAGTGGTAATGACACATGCACTACTTACTGACATTAAAGTAAAACAACCATCGTTGCAAAAACATTGACCCCTCTTCTCCCTCCCCCAACTCACCGGTCCCACTGAGTGTGAGGACCTGAGTCTCCGCCCACTGTTTCTTGGCGGAGTCCCGGGTGTGGTGGATGAGTAGGGCGGAGCTCTGGAGACTGCTGGTACTGGCCTCCCTCGTCGCCGTGTGAACCTTCTCCAGCAGCGGGAACAGAACCTGGGAATGGGACGCGGAAGAGAAGACAACCACTTTAATGATACTCCCGAAGATGAATTGAACTGTGCTATCTTTCCACTTGCATACTCAATAAATGCCCCCATTTCCTGCTCATGTGGTTTTTGCACTACACCCTCCATCTTATAGCGAAGATATTAGGATGGTTTGTTGGCCTGTCTTTCCCCCAACACACTCCCTAAAAGTACGAAAATTTATCCACCCATTTTCCATATTTTGCTCCTTTTGGTTTTTGCACTGCACTCTCCAGCTACAGTCAAAGTATTCAGGTTGGCCTATCTCTTTCCCTTCAAATACTCGCGAAAAGTAAGAAAAATTTAGGCAACCTCCAGCTATGGTTAAAAAAAGGTCAGGATGCTTTCCTGGTGTGTCTTACCTCTCACACCAGTGTGGGTATGTATTTGTCATGTAAGGGGGGCTGAAAGGCATGTGAGTGTCATGTGAGGGTCATGTGACCTACATTACCTCTCCCAGGACAGTCTCCCAGGTGTGCGTATGGAGGAGAGTTCCGTGAGCAGAGATGGTGGAGAATAGGGTCTGTGCTGAGCTCTTCCTCACCGCTGCCCTCTCGTCTGCACACAGCTCCGACAGACCTCTGGGGAGGGAGGGAGAAAAAGGAGAGAGAACGAGCAAATATACGTAAGAAAAGAACACAACTATTAGAACAACTTTGTGCACTTTTTGTTGCTAGTGAGCAGCGCAGAGAGGTAAAGTATGACACAGTTTGATCATATAAGACAAAAAGTAAGGAATAGTGCACGTTTTACATCTATGGAGGGTTGTTTCGTAATAAACAAGTGGTAGAATATGTAAGTACAGGGGAAAAAAAGAAGAGAAATGATGCCAAGAAAAATCATTATAATTGTCACCTGAACATGTCCACCCATAGGACGTCAAAAACTGGGAGTGGCGAGCTCATAACTCGTTTCTCGAAACCGGTCAGACCGGACTGACTGGTTCCAGAGCCGGTTCCCCTCCGGAGACCCTCCAGTCCAACTCTTATCGTCTCCTTGTTCTGGTACAGGTGATCTGCTATACTCCACTGCAGAGCGAGGGATTACCAGTACACATACATAGTTGCTGCACATACATACGTACATATCATGTATGTAAGATTGGTTTATCAAGTATTTCCATGAGCTATATAATGTTGTGCAACTTGAAAAACAACAATCTTCCAACCCATCCATTGCAGGTTGCACAAATACATTTTTCAACACTAGTCTGTCAGCACAGAGATGTTGACAGCGCAAGCTAGCAGTCAACGTGCTCGACTCAATCTGTATATAAAACACTTCGTTCTTAGCCATGAAAAATTCAAAAACTGCCAATCCAAAGTGTCCCCCACCAGGAGTCCGACAGAGGAGAGGGAGATGTTGATGTCGACGGTCTGGAGTCCGTACCGCGTGGAGACGTGGAGGGTGGTGGGGAGGGAGGGCGGAGGGAGGTGGGGGAGGAAGTCCGCCACCACCAGCTGGAGACTCTGGAAACCACTCCGCACTAGGGCCTCACTAGAATAAAGTCATGTGAGTATCATGTGAGAGTCATGTGACCTCCTGCGGTATACTTGAAACACTGTTAAAAAACCGAGATTTTCTAACAGGCATGCATGAATAGCAGCTGCTTCTACACAGCGAATCCCTGCACCTTCATTCTACAGCTATAATGGGTGGTATTCCAAATAATGCACACTTTGCCCCCACCGGTGGTAGTATTGTGGGGTGATTTGACCTTTTGACCCCACCTGCTGAGGGAAGCGGCCGACTTGATGACATTGAGAATGACGTCCCAACTCGAACCGAGACTCTGGCCACTGGAATGGAGTACCTGGATTGGAATCATGGAGGAATGGGAATGGAACTGCAGATTGTAAAGTTCTCACGTTGCTGACGCAGTCCAGTTGTCTCTGTCTTACGTCCACGTGCAGAACTGACTGGAGACTGAGCAGAGGAGACAGTAGCTGGATGTACATCTCCTGGGGAATGGAATAGGGACCAGAAACGACTGGATAATGAGACTATTATGGTTGAAGCAATCATGTTTGCACATACTAAATTTCAAATGCGTATATACGCACGCAGTCATGTTTATTGTTTGAAACTTGTGGACATAGAAAGAGGAAAAGAGAAAATGAATGGTGGTTTCGCCAGGTTTTGGTGGCCTAAATGAAGGGGGAGTTGAAGAGGAGAGATAGAGGGAGTCATGGGGGCAAGTAGAGATGAAAGAGACGGGCCAAATAGGAGGGAAGAGAGGAAGATAAGGGACCTGGTTTTTGGCGAGGGGGAGGGCGGAGCGGATGAGGGAGGAGAGAGAGTCAGCTGCGAACCCTCTCAGAGTAGCCTCGCTGGACGAACACACCTGGCAGAAAGAAAGACAGTGGGAACAAGAGAAGGTAGCACCACTAGCCCCATCCTACCTAGCATTAGCTTTTGATTGTTTGCAGGAGCCGAATTTATTTACTCGAACAGTTACAAAGTGCACCTCGTACAACGATAATTACAATAGGTCACCACTGTGACACACACATATGCTAGTTCAGTGCCATATACCCTACAGTTCATACCTCGATAAAGTGTGATGTGATGGGAGGCCAAATAAGGTCAATTCTCTCCAGATTTGCCACACCGGTCTCCAGCAATGATGTCATCGCAAACAAACTCGGCTCCTGCAAATATTTCATTATTATGCACTCTCACATGTACAGGCTTTTTTTGCCACAAAACAAGAGCAATGTGCATACTTGCTTACTCTGTTGGGAGAGGAGGAGACTTCATCCAACGATAGCTGACAGAGAGCCGATATCAGGTGATCCAGACTGGCGCCGGAGAGCTTTCTAGATGCATGTACATTACAGAGCATACATACATGGCATAAAACAGAGTTATGCAGCACAAACACACTCCCTGTCTGCCTCCCCGTGCAATGCCAGGTAATATAGGGGGTAGAAAATCAATGACATTCGTGCTTTAAAACTACAAACAATTTTCTCTGTGGTGTGCTTCAGACACTTATTACCAAAATACGTCTTTTCCCTTGCACCCCCACACATGTAGTATCGAACCGATAAAACCGGTCATACGTCGATTGTCTAGCGTGATGCTCTGACTTGCGTTAAATGATGTGTTTGGACGAGATGACGCTTGGCCGAGACCGTCTTGGAAGTCTAGAACTGCTTTCCGACAGGCGGATCTTACCGCACATCGCGCCTCGAGTTTCTACACACCTAGGTGGCTGCACTTACATGAGTATGGCCAACCAATTCAATGATGGTTTCTAGGATTTACGACAAGGACAAAGAGACATTTCCTCAGAAGAACAGAAGAGAAGAACTAGCAAACAGCAAGAACGAGGATTTATTCGAAGCGAAGAAGGAGCACATAAGTACGACACAGTACCGTATAGAACAACGATAGCAGAACCTTAGGTAGACCTATGAAGCGATAAGATAACGAAGCAATGATATCTAAGTCCGAATCGCGTGATCAGCAATTTCTGGCTAGGAATGCATCTAATACATGGAAATGCCAACTGCTACACAGGTAGTGTGTTCTAGTCATTCTTAGCTCGGGGCAGCGTGTGCTGATTCCCGGATAGTCGCGCTACATTCGATCCTCGATGTGTGTGCTTGTCGTGGGGACATGTCGTGGCTGAAAGCTGTGCAGCTGATGTGGTGGACGTTTCGTACCGTGGCAGCGTGATTTCGTGATATTATCATGAGTCGAGGGTGATTGCTGGATGTTTCTAGGACTATGCAGAGTCTGACCTCAGACGCCCTTTTCAGTCGCAATAAGCCAGTCAGCAGCCCTGGCAGAGCTACGTAACACTGCTGCAGTCTGGGGCCGTGCCCAGGACGGCGGGTCCAATAATCATCGCTCCTTGTCAGTGCCGTTCACAAAATGTGGAGACTTGAAAGAAGATGACCGATGTGTAAATGTACAGAGGAGCATGCTTCAGGATGATTCAAACGTCGCGTACGTATCCGAGAGGGCTCGCTGAGGCGCTAACGACGCGAAGGGTGTCCGGTAGGCTGTAGCAGTTTTCCGATCATATCTCGCTGATGACTATCGTTCTGGCAGTTAGGTACGAAGCAGCATAATAGGGTGAGGGCCGGAAGGGACGAGTTAATTCTGGCTATGGTGGATAGAAAAGTCCTTTATGACAGGATAGGCCGTCAGCCGTGCCTGAGAGGCCCGAGTGAGGGGCTGGTTATATGTTACGTTAATTACATCAGTCGGTTTCGTTCCGGTCACATTTCGTACGTAGCTTTTCCTAGATGAGTTGCAAAGTATGGCGCTGTGTCAAGAATTTTGTAGTTGGAACTGAACACCTAATCCTCCGTTTTTAGGGAGGTCAAGCGCATGATTCAGTAGCCTCAAGGTCGAGGTAGGGCCTGTGTACTTAGCCTTTTTGCTAGTGGTCCGGGACACCACAAGTGCCCGAGTTTGGCTATATCGACCGCAATCAAGACATTATTGACCAGAGCGTAGTGTTTTTGTCCGGCCGAGTCTCAGGGCAGACCTAGATATGTCAAGTATTAGCAGCGTCTCGGAGTGTCTGCGACAAATGGGCCACCAATAGTGCTTTTTCTGCGATTGGGATGGGAGGAGATCCCGTGGCATCGCGGCTGGAGCCAGGTTGAGAGCAGCGTGTGCGTAGGATTTTACTGTTGTCTACTTGGTCGCTTAGAGTTTGCTTCACTGGCTACATGTTTCAGTTGCTATTAGCTTGCAGGTAGCTCGATGGAGTAGCGCAGCATTCTGGTCTTTGAGCAGCTCGGCCCGGGAGTTCCGAACAGCTCCTGAGGGCTTCTCACCTCTGGCCAGCTATGAGTAGCTGTCAACTCGTCTAGGTGGGGTCATTTTACGTGAGGTAAACAGTAGTCAGGCCCGTAATAGTGCTTACTGAATCATATTTGTCAGCTATGTAGTGTCGCACGTGAGTAGTCTTAATGTCAGCTATTGTGCTCATTTGATGAGTGTAACGTTATGGCCTGCTTCAGACGTCGATGATGTCAAACAGGAAGGCTCGCAACGGATAATAGTGACGCGAGAGCGGACTCGGACCTTCCACTTGATCGACTGCTGAAGGATCGCCACGTCTGATCGAATTGCATCGGCAGTCAAGTACAGAGAGCTGCAGCCCAGGAGGACATCTCCGGTGAGGTCGGTGTGTAGATGCCGTGGTGTCGTCCATGCCTTGGTCCGCCTTTTGTGCCTGATTTTGTAGTCGTCAATTTCGCCTCGCAACCCCGTGGATGGACAATTACGTAGAGTGACGACGACGACTTACGTAGCGCCACTTCGCTTAGTATACGCGGAGTATCTAAACTATGTAGAGGCAGATGCTGATAGACTGCTGGAGGTAGCCACCCTTATGATCATCGGAAAGGCGGGCAGAGAGGGGTTCCTACCTGTACAGCAGTGAGAACACGAGCCACGCAGTATCCACGTCAGTGTGCCTACTGGTCACGTACTCGATGTGTATGCATTCAGCCGAAACGTGAGTCTTAGCTACACTGGAGGTTCTTTACTTAGAAACAGTGAGCCTGCAGATCGACAGGCGCGGAGAGTAGACGCTGAAAACTGTAGTGACTGCAGCGCAGTGAAAACCTTAGTGGACGGAGATCTTGATTGCTCCGGGTTTGCTTGGGCTGACGTACAATGTGATGGATCGCTTAGTCTATGTTACTGTATGCCATTTTGCAGTCGACTTGCACGCGAGAAATAGATCACAGACGACTAGGTAGTAATGACGCATATGATCGAGCACCAAGTCGCAATTAGTTAGACAGATTCTACTCAAGAGATGACTGCCATCCCTTCGTCTGAATAACAGGTGCGACTAGTGGCGTAAACCATTTGGCAGTCCTCGTGTGGCGCCGCCAAGTCGTCACCGGCTGC